CTTTCGCGGTAGATGGGCTATAAAAGTAAACATTTTTCAAAAAATTTAATTTATGCGCAAGAAAGACGGACGCGTAATGGCTTTTGTGAAGGTGTTTGCATAGCACAAACGCATGTTTAAGCAATGTTTTCGATTTTCTACATGCGAAAAGTCACGTATACGCACCGTCAAAACATTGGTATATGTGAGAAATTGCCATAAAAACATCACTAAAATGCTGTATTCTATAAATCACCGCTGCCAGATTATATTTAGATAGTTAGAAGTTGGTTTTGCTTTGTTATTGTAAAGCGTGTATAATTTTATTGGTGCAAAATGATTTTAAAGCAATAATTTTGAATTCTTAGTATTAAATAATAAACAATATTTCGCTTTTCTTTAAATTTTTGAAATAATTTTCTAGAGTATTGGTAACCCTGATATATTTATTATATTATATTAATGTTTTAGAATAATTTTTAAAGTAATACTCATTTATTTGGCTTAAAATAAATTGTTTAATATTTTAAAGTGGCATTTCTAAATTAAATTCTTTTCGAAAGTGTGGCAACCTTGTATCTAATTATTATTTTTTGTTTTTTGCTTAAACAAAGTTTTATATGTTTAATAACTCAGTAATAAAATATTTTATATAATATATTCTTAGCGAAATTTTTTTTTTTATAATTTGTTTATAAATAATATAATTAGGGACACATCTTGTGTGACAACTTAAAAAAGGGCGACAGATTAAAAAAATGAATTTTTGGCAATAAAAAAGGCTACCATATCAATTCATTTCAAATACACTTTAAAATATGTATATACATAATTTAAAAATAGCCAGTAAAATTTTTGAAAAAACAAATTAAATATGTTCCGATCTGCGGTGTCCTTCAATCACTTCTAAAATATACACGCAAAAATTTTCAATCAAAAACTAATCAATTAATTTTGTATTAATTAAACAAAAATTAAATGAAAATTGGGCATTCCTTATTCAGCATGCACGCACGTTTGCCTCTTGCTTTTCGTCCAATTTGCAGTAAAAATTCAATTCTCAATAATTTCCCTCACACACTTTATTACAATATGTATACTCATATACATTTAATTTAACTACACACTCGCCAAAACACTTGCCTCGTTTATTCGTGGAAATAATAAAATTTCCACTTATTTTAAAATTACATGAAGTACAAAATTATTAATGGAAGCAATCAAGCAAAAGCAATCAACACAATAAACCTCAAGGCGAGCATTCGCACCATCCACTCAATGCCTCGTAGGCAATTGAACGCCAAATTGTGGATTTGTGTTTTGCCGCAACACACGAACACGTAAGAAAAAGCATACCCTTAGTGTAATCAAGCGTCCATTTTGCCAATCGCTCAATTTTGCAATCATAATTTTCAGTTTTGTTATTTTATTTTTTTATTATTTTTTTACTGTAAGCATGCATTCATCATACGTACATACATATGCATAATCTTACGAGCATGTGGGCATAAATTGTTTGTTGTGTATGTAAATAAATGAGTCAACATATTTTGAGAACTGCTGCAAAACAATAAAATTGCTATACGTATACGTTCAAACATTCACACATGCGAAAAGATTACATGTTGCATATATATGTATACACCTATTCTGCTTCTTATAAAATTTTATGAGAAACCTGCTTGAATTCTGTAATCCTTTATAAGCATTTTGTACTTTTTAATGCCCTCCGATATTTGCACTCGTGTTGTACCGCTATAAAATCTTTCATAAAAACTAAGTAAAATTATTTAGAAAATCATCTTGTAGAACATGGGTGTAATAAAATTAGGCAGCAGTGGTAACACGATTGATTGGTTTCTCTTTCCTTGCAGCCAACATCTGCCCTCATATATGTATACAGCGAAATGACAGCCTTTTCAATCGCTAATGAAAATTCCATACTGACATTATGGTAAAAAGGTTTAGCTTATGGCTTCTATTTTGAGCGGAGATTGCGGCTCATGTTACAATTTTCAAGACAATGAACGGTATCTTGTGATTAATTTTTCTTTCTAATTTATTTATCTTATCAATCACGCAATGAAATATTGATTGATTAGCGCTCTGACTCTGACTAAGTAATTTTCAATGAACCCTTAGCATTTTCTACAAAAAAAAACCAAATATCAAAGTGATTATGTTCGGCAACACACAAATATACGAAACTCTCGTAATGAAATAAAGGCGTATGAAATGGTGCAAGATATCTTTACAACTTAGAAAACAAAAAACAATTAATTATATTCCACAGTACTGCGAATTAACTTTCGAATTTGGACTTTTAGCTTAACTTGTGACTGAGTCATGGCTTTACCATGGTTTTTATTGCAGTTCCAACTATATACCCGGAAAAATAGAAATTACTACAAATCACGCGCTCATAATCTCATCAAGAAACTCTTCCAAACTGTACAGAAATAATTTTTATTATTTAAATAAAATAAATAAAATAGTTAGTCAATTTATTTCTATTTCCGAATCTCCTTACATAATAATAACGAAACCGAAATTAACTACGTCAAGCAAACGACAAACACATGTAATATATGCACCGAGTGAAACGCAACTCAACAAAAGTAATTTTCCGCAAACACAGATATCCAATATGCATAAGAGGTATGCTGTCGCTGCACTAGCATTACTATTCAATAACTCTAATACTTATTTCTCCAAGGTATTTATTTAATGACATTTTTAATGCATTAGTCATGCCATGCACGCCAGTCTGTGGCGCAATGCAGTCACGTACACACACACTGCTTAACGTTCGTTTGTCGCTGCTTAAATAAGATACGGAAATTGAAAAATCTCTTTTTACTCTTCTACAAATATAAATTTCGCAATTTCCCGTTGCGTTTATGCTGCAACTTTATTATAACGTCTTCTATGCACGAACTAAGCTGTGTGGCAAAGTGCTCAGGTGACTTTTCTTAGTTGAGTGATTACAGCATTAAAGGAAAATGTATCAAATGATTTTTGGTTAAAAGGAAGATTATCTAAATTAAATTAAATTCGACATTTAATGGTTTCAGTGTGAAAACTTATTTATATAAGTATTTTGTTTTAAACTACTTAAAAAACTTTCTTATAATCAGCAGATTTTAGTCATCTAAATGTTTGCCAGAGCAACAGCATTTGCAGCGTAACGTTACTACGCAAGTTACCCAAGTCGCACACCATACACGAACTCCTAACTCATATATTAATAGAACAATTATTAAAATTATTTTTCCGATACTGGAGTATTCAAACTACTCCTAACCATAATATTATTCGAAGCATTGCTTTAAAATTTAATTTAACGGGTTATATCCTCTTGGAAGGCAGAAAAACGCGTTTTTTACTCAAATTTTTGTTTACAAACATTTAATTTATTAAATAAATAAAAGTAATGAGAGTACTACTACTGAGTAGATTTACTACTACTAATAATCGGTTTTTAAAAAATTTCGGATTCCCTTATCCCGTAGCGAATCTCCAGATGGCGAGGAAGATTTTTCTCTTAAAATTATTTCAAATTCAAACACCGAAACAGCCTATTATTACTATACATGAATACAGGTCATGATCAAAAGACTAGTCAAAATTTGGTTTTTTGCCAAAATGCCGGCTTTTCAAAAAAATGTGTCGCCTTTTGTGAAAAAATTTACACATCAGAGTTACTTCAAAATTGAAATTATCATCAGAAATCATATTTTTCGATAAATACCGAGCAAATATATCTAAGAAGATAGTGTTAAAATTTTTTAGTCGGCGGTGTGGAAAACTTCTGCAAAATGACTGAACCGATTTTGCAGAAGTTTTCCACACCGACTCCGAAAACAGTGTTAGACAAAGTTAAAAATTAAGGCAAATATCTCCGACACTATTTGCCGCATTAGCTTCAAATTTCTGAAGAATACTCTCAGTTATATCTACATTCGATTAATTTGCAACACACACCACATAAATTTGTGTGATCTTTCACTTTGTCACACACTTACTATTTGGCAATAAAACCGCCACAATAAAACACCGATGCTTTTTCATATGATTCTCAATCGAACTCTCACTTATTTGTCTCTGAACCAGCAAAAATGTATGAGTGCATGCACGCGCATCACATTTGCGGTGTTGCAATAACCATTCATTCACGATGCTTTCAACAAATTTCGTTAGATTCGCAAGTCATATAAATGCGCAGGAAATAAATGTGCGCGGAAGGAAAGCAAATATTGCATTCACATTTATCTAACACGCTTACACTCCTTGCTACACACCACTTCCTTTCATTTTATACACTCTCTCCTCCGCCGCTAGCGAGCAGACATTATTGCGGTTATTGCTGATTGCATTGCGGGTAATGCCAATACAAATGATACCGTTGCTGCATATAATGCTGTTGTTGTCACTGCTATTTCTGTTGCATTCACTTTTGACTAGCTTTATATATATTATTTTTGTTGGTAGCATTTGCAAAGCGTATTGAATTCAGTAGGATATTGTCGCTAATGGTATCGCTATGATAACACACTTCTCCCTTATTCTGCGCTTTCTTTAATTTTTCAACACTTTTTTAACTTATTTTCCCGTACATTGCAATTTATTGTGTTTTCCGTTTTTTATCGCAAGCTCACTTTTTGATTTCTTGACAGCTGAGCTGATATGTTGTATGTCTGAAATGGTGTCTGTCGCATTGCAGATGATATGTGTTATGACAATTTGCAGCTGAGGTGAGGATATTTGACTTTTAGTGAGTGTATTTCAGCTTACTTGTAGTTTGATAACTTGATAACTCACGTTGCTCAACATATATGTCTTTGTGAAATATTAATTCAGAAAACTACCTAAGAGTGAACTATAAATTCTGTTTTCATCCTCTCGTCCGAAAGAATACTTCAAGATATCTCAACCAACTGTCATCTGTTCAAAACTTCCCCAGACTTACAAAACTGAACTTTTTTTTCATAATATTATACTAGATTTACAAAACAATTAAAAAACTACTATATATATATGGCATTTTGCAGCACTCATCATTCTGACCTGGTAGCAAATAGGACAAAATAATTAATTATATTTACTTTTCCCCACTCGGTAGTGAATTAACTCTACCATCTTTCTTATCTCTCTGCTACATTAAAAAATTTTCACATATAAAATAATAGTAATTTATATTGTACCAGTTAATACAACTAAAGTTAACCAATTACAATCACGAGATGTCGCTGCGTATGAGTAATATGTTGTTCAAATATCGCTCAATGTTGCATTGAAGCATAGTTTTAGCACTTTTTGCACACACTATTCTATAATTTACCTAGTATAACCCATATTCAAGAGACATATTGTTTATAAACTAATATTCTTATGACATTTCATACTAACCTGGAGAGAGCAGGATTGACTACATGGCGTATGATAAACATTTTCAAGTTCAATGCTAAAAATGTTTCCTTTTTTTATTTATTATGTTCAAAAGATCTAGTAAAAAGAAATCCATTGTTTTTGCACTAAAGTTAAGGCTGTATTTAGCATTGTCCGATTTATGTGAAATATGCACTGTTTTCTTCGATAACTTCTTGTCATTTTAAATATAATTATATAATGCCACTCTCATAGAAAACCCTAGTGCCTATTGGCAAAAAAAAACTACCAAAGTCGATTTTCACAAGCTTCTCTTGGGTCGCATTTTTCGCAAGCAAAATGATTCACCACAGACAGGGAACGGATAGTAATTACTATAAGGGGATGCAAAAGAACATCCCAACCAAACTCCCGGAGCTCCTGACGAGCCACTATCGATGGGTGTGACCTAGTGTTACCCTAATGGAATGAAATTTCTCTGCTGTTGGCTCAAGCTGTCCACTTTTGGGCGATGTCTTACTTCAGATGGTTCAAATGTTGACAGTACTGTCTGCCAACGCCATCAAATGCACAGCAAACTCATTCTGGTCGTCAATACTGGCATGGTCACAGTTTGCATAGGTTCAACGCGATTCGACCACGACCGTTTGACAGCTACACTATCAGGACCATGAAGACTGTTCACATTTTAAGCTAACTAGCTTGCGATTTCGCTATCATCGAGTCAAGCAATCACAAAAACGTCGGACAGATTTTTTTTTACAAAATTATACAGCCATCTATTGGAAAAATAATAGATTCCTTTTATAAAACCTAATACATATGTATATTTTTATAAATATATATTAATATATATAATTAATTATTTTATACAGTATGTATCATCTAGCCATAACGTCTCGTGAACTTAGCTATCATTGCCATGTCAGTTTACTATATGGACATTAATCTCTTTTGACTGGTTTGTCCAAACTTTGTTGACAGTTGATGTAATTACGGTAATTTGAAACTGGTGCGACGATATACACACATAAACTTTATCACAGAAATTATGCGGACATAACCGAATTATGCGTGCGACTACAGATATGTATATGTATTGCACGCAGTCGATTATAATTACACATGTGTATAACCAAATGAGCAGGGATTTTAGGACGGATCACTCCATCAATTTTGTAACTCTAGTCTCCTTACGCTCTAACCAACTTGCTGAGAAAGCCTACATATAAGCATTTTGTGCCTAAACCAAGAGCTGATTGCAACAGCCAAGTATTAAAATAAACTTCTGCTCCAACTTCTATGAGTAAATCGTTTCTTCCCGTCACTGTAGCTCTCGAACTCTGGTTCACACATTCTAATAAGTTGCACATACGCACTTTCCGTGCACAGTTTTCTCTTCCATCCATATATGTAATATGTACTCAATAATATTTTGGCAGCGCCAATTAATAATAGACAGGTAACTATGCTTGATTGCACCACGTGGCAGACTAAATTGAAGCCGAAAATATGTACAAGTTATTATAGGAGCATTAATTTAATTAAGTATACTTCACTTGATATTGTTCACACTTCAGTCAGCCTGCAACAGCTCCACTGGGTATTTTTCAACTGTCTGCCAATCAGTCAGTCAGTTCGTCAGCTTCTTCGTTTGCCAGCTGCCAACTTGCTTACATACATATTTGCCAATTAAATGGAAATTAACGAATAATAAGGTTAATTGAACTCGCAAACAAACAGATGAGTTGCACATACATACACACGCACAAAGGCATAAAGCGTTTATGGCAATGCGCCGGCATTCATTTCAAATGAATATTTGATTAGCGATTATACCTGAACTTATGCACGCATATTCCTGAATCATTTCTCGCTTCTCGTATATTTATGGGTGTAGTAGTGGAAGCACTTCCATTAACTATTCGTGAATTATTCTTCACTTTTGTTCTTGCAACTTTTCACGGTTCAGGTAAAAATGTTTGTAAGTCATTAACTGAGGTAATAGCGTTTAATGGCTTATTAAATGCCACACCAACAAATTCTAGTCATATTTTGCTAATTGCACAATAACGGTATAAGTAAGGAAGGAATTTTTGTTAAATTTTATATTTAATAGCATGCCTAGGTAAAAACAAAAATAAAATAGATAGCTTTAAGTTTATTGTATAGAACTGCGGAAATATTTTATTTAGTAAGAGTTGTTTGCACTTTGCGAAGGTTAAGAACGGAACGAAAACCCGGTAGGAGGCGTCAGGTTGCAAATTTTTATTAGAAACTGTAATTCAGGACCGAATTGCTCATTTCAGAGATCGCTTAATGGAGACTGAACATTTTTAAACTTTTTGAATGCAAAAGTAAGAGAAAAACAAGAAAAAACGTTAATTACGTCTGCACCAAAGCACTAATATCATTCACAGGTGATATTTTATAGTATAAAAGGGTATAAAAAGGTATTGGTATTGATTGATTAGTTTGTACGATAGTTATAAGATATAGTAGTCTGATCTGAATACTATCTTTGGAGAAAGTAGCCTTGCCTTGGGCAATAATCCCTGCCATATTTCATGAAGATGTCTAGTCAAATAAAAAAAGTTTTCCATACAAGGACTTGATTTTGTTCGTTCCGTTTGTATGGCAGCTAAATGCTTTAGTAGTTCGATACCGATTATTCCATCAAATGAGTAGCCTTTTGCGGAGAAAAGGGCGTATGCATAATTTCAGATCGATATCTCAAAAACTGAAGGATAATTTCAGCTTCTTTATTTACTTATAATTCGAATACTTAAATAACTTTGACATTATCGAACGTTTACTCTTCTCATTCATAAGGGGTTTTTAAAGCTTTTTCACCTTAAAACACCAATACATTCATACTTAGAATATTATAATCCCATTGCCAAACAAATTTTGGAAGTTTTAAAATTTTACTCGAGTTGAATTCGAATAAAAACTTAAAAATTTACTGCTATCTCTGGATGAGTATATATATAGGTATATATATATATATATATATATGCATGTGTTTACCAGGGTAGTAATTACTAAAACTGCCAGCCACATGCAAACACCTCAAGCTCTTTGTACAACAACCAAAATGGTTTTTCCCACATGTAGCATACAGCGTGTGACATGTGGCATGCGGTGTGTGGTATGTAGCATGTAACATATGTCATAAGCACAAAGTAGCACTTCAACTCCATTCAATAGAATTAGTTTCTTTTCATGCCGAGTTATGTTCACTTTCATGCTATCATAGGTGGAACGCCACAGGTACACATACGCACACACACTAGCTCTTTTTAAGTTACACAAGCTCTCGTAGCTATGTTGGTACAATTTTCAACTCTTCCAATGGGGAATGCATGTGAGTTTGTAATCAACTACTTTTGGTGTAAAAGTCAGTATTGCTGGTAGATATGTATGCATGGTTGACTCCGGCGTCTGAAATACACATAAAAGTTATATGTATGTACATTTATATGCTACCTGTATGCTCACATGTGTATCTTTATGTGTTTGTATATACATATATACATATCCGTAGATATGCTTGTGGTTGCACATTCCGGCTGTTGTCTGGGAAAGGTTCAGGCATTCGTTCAAATATTTTTGGTTCGGTATATGTATGTTAGTATGTATACGCATGGGTTTTTGTTATTGTAATACGAACACACTGGTACAATTCAATTCGTTCCATCGAAGAGGAAGTAATTGCCATCGATTGATGTCGCCGACATTATTCCGGGGATGTTCCAACAAAGGCAACCAAAATCGACACACAAAAACGAAAAATGTTTTAAGTGGAGTAGTGTCTGGAAAGGTATGGCTTATGAGCAGATACAAACGTATGACAAACAATATGGCTATTGTTGCGCTTAAATTCGAACGCTTTGTACTTTAATGAATAGCCTTTGGCTCGAAATAACGGTATATTGTATATAGGCTAGCATTAGGTTAAATAATAGCTAAATCGGTTTCCGGTAGCTGATGGAAATTATTTTCATTCATAAAGAATTAAGAACTGCCAATTGAAATTGTATTGAAATTTTCATAAATCTATTGAATCAGATGTTGATATTTATTTCCTATTTTACCTTTTAGTTTTTATTTTCTGAAATACTTGCTTGCTTCCCAATTTTAATATCCTTATCAGCTTTTCGCAATTATACCTGGGTTTATAAGCAATAAAATCTATTTAGTACTCATTTTTAGAATAATGAAGTACAAAATTTCATTTAATTATGAGAATTTGGATATGAAAATAAAATGTAAATTTAAAAACTCTAAATTATATCAGATCATTATTGTATTACAATGAAATTATTAAAATTAGTGTGAAATTTTGAAAAAAACAATTTTTTTTACACATTTTAATAGTTTATACCCTCGAAAATAACGTACCAAAAGTTTCAATGAATATCTCTAACAGCTTTTGTGTCACAGCCTTCTAAAGTGTAGCCGCTTAGTTCAATCAGCTGCATCAGTCCATCTTTAAACGCGTTTACTCGAAACAGGATTATTAAAATTTTCTTTAGTTATTACTCGGGCGCATTTTCCGGATTTTCTACATCCATTGACCTACATTTATGATCTGATCAAAAATCGAAAATGGGCAGGCCAAAAACGACAAAGATGTTTGGATAAAAATAGGTATCACCATTTGTTTTATTTTAACATTGATTTATAATGATTTTCTTGTAAAAATGTATGTCTCATCGGGGACTCAAAACTTTTCTTCGCACCAAAAAAAATTGTATTATATACTTGAGAATCAAAGGGACGAACACAGAGAACGATTCTACCAGGAGTATGTAAAAGGGTTGAATGCTGTAACATTGAATGACTTATACAGAAATTTTTAATATTTTTAGTTTTATATTTTTCAAAAGCTTTTATTTGCGTATTTTATAAAAACTATTTAAATCTCAAAACTTGGTGTTTTAAAAAAACTGTTAGCCAAATATTAAACCAATAGCAAAATCATATTTATGTATGTCTGAAATTCCAATTTATATCCATCTCAATATTTTTAAAATATGCTTGACTAGGGTGAAGTTGTAAACTTTCAGCGAAAATAAATCAAGCTTGGGCATTAATAGAGTACATATTAATAACTCACAAAAGTTTACCAAGGCGCTTCTGCTGTCTGAATATTCATAAATAAGAAAGCGATTGAAATTTATTTTCCTCTTACTGGCTTTCACACTCATTTTTTCATTAACTGCAGTGCACCTTTTACGAGTAAGCATAAAATCAAACTTATCTTCAATATTTCCACTCTTATTTCCAGGTGCGGATACCGACCGATTCTTCTTTTCAAAATCTGGCAGGAGAATAAACATTTATTAAACGCCAAGTGGAGCAACCGGTAATAAAATATTGAATATGCACATACATACGCATATACGCGAGTTATTATGAGCCGTGCCGTTTCGCCGCAGTCATTACCATTTCAGATACGCACATGCACACACTCATACACATATGCAAAGGAAAAGCATGAAACAAATAAATAAGAACGCAGCATTGGCTTAAAGAAGTGGAATATGTACTGTATATATATAAGTGTGTGTATAAAATAATCAGCCGCAGCAACATCTGTTGAATGCCGATTTTATCGATTGAAATTGCCGCAACGACAGCAAAAAACACGACGCAGGGCTATGCATACACAGATAAACAACAAATACATGCACATGCAATTAAATAGCGATTTAGATTTTTTGCCCGACATTAATAGAGGATATTAAAACTGTGGCAAATATACCCTATAAGGGCAGCTTAACACAAAAGAGCCAACACAAAGTGATAAGCAATACTGGTTATTGCCGAGCAGCAAGCTCCAACGTGGTGGACACGCACTTCACTCGTTCCAGCGCAGCCCGACCATAGTAGTCTCCGCAGCACGCAATATGGCTGTGCCTATCGATGAGGGCGTGCTGAGCGCTTTGCGCGGCATAGCGAGCAAAAATACACGTCTGCCCAAGCCGTTGCTCATCAAAGTTTATGTGTCCAGCTTGAAGGAGGGTGAGTACGCATATCGCCAACGTGTTGTTGTTGTTTGCTTGTTTCCATTTTGCACTTTATTTATATTGCTTATTTGCTTAGGACTTTATTTAATGGCTATATCGTTGGATATCTCACAATCTGAGCAGAGGTTTAAATAATAGAAAAAAGTTTAATAAATAAAAACGGCCTATCATTTATTTAATTGCGTCGACAGTATTTAATAATTTCTGATTTGGATCTGAAAAATGAAATTGTCACCCAGTTCTTACTTTTTTCGAAGAGCACAACTTCTATGATATTTTTTTTTTTTTGGCACCTTCCCAATATTAAATTCTTTTTATAAATATATCCTCATATACACGGTACTTACTTTAGATACTCAATTCTAAGCAATTCTAGAAGCTGCCTGCCAACCTAATATCTCTCAAAGCTAATCCCCATTCATGCCTTTAACGATTGCTACTGAAAGCTGCCTCTCGATACATACACATACAGGAAAGTGTTATTATAAATATAATAGGGCGTCGCCATTGAAAAGTTTCAGCTTTGCAACCTTACAGTTAAAACCGCTTTCGAAGAGGAGTTGCCACCTGTTAAATTATTTTTCTCAAAATTAAGAAAATATCACAATATGTGTACCACTCTAAAGAAATTTAAAAAGGCTTAGAGTTGGTAAGAGTTGCCACCTATTTTAAATTTCAAATCAGCAAAAATTAATAGAACCGCCCTTGAGAAGTTTCAACCTTAAAGTTCGACAGTTTTAAACTAAAAAATATCTAAAATAAAGTTCTGTTTCTGTATTTACCTAACAGTTAAAAACATTTTTGTATAACGGTGCCAGCTGTTAAAGTTTATTTATTGAAATTCTAGAAATATTACAATATGTGAGTGTTTCACAAAACCAAACTTCTAAATATCAAAAGGCTTACGGTTAAAAGTATTTTCGTTAAGAGTTGCCACCTATTTTAATATTTCATATAAATGGAAAATTAACAGGATAAAGATATTAATATCAAGAGATTTGAGGAAAATTATCATTAGAGATACGGAAGTATGCGTGGTTGCCACTTGTTAAATTTCTTTAATGCAATCAAATTTAAATATAAAATACATTAATGATTTATTGCAATATGGGTTTCAAACTAAAAATATTTAAGAGCGTTTATGGTTATATACAAAATTTATGATTGGTTGCCAAGTGTTTAATTTTTTTTTTTAATTCAAATAAAATTTATAAAACAAACAATAGGGGATTAAACTTCAGATGTTTAAAAATTTTAGAATTAAAAAAAATTGAGATTGGTGGCTTTTTACCTGTTTAAATTTTTCCGTAGATATTGTCGATAAAACAAATGTTATAGTACTATATAGAAATATAGCACTAACCTTTCCTTAACGCAATAACAAAAGAATCATATGTTAAAAATACAATATTTTCGACACTCCCAGGAAATTTACACTTTCTACAACAATTTCGAATATTTTTCATTTTTTATCAGTTTACGTGAGAGTCTATTCATACTGTCCTTTATAACCACTTTCTGGCCTACATATATATTGAATATACTTTTCTTTTCTGCAATTTTCTTAGAATTCTGCCAAGAACGGCGCATGCTTTTGGAACTAGTGGGACCCGAGCTACAATCCATTTATGATGACAGACAAATCGAGGTAAATGATTCAGTCAAATGCTTGTATTTAATTACTGCAATAGATTTTACACGCTATATAGAAAAACGGATAATATATTTTTATGCTAAAATAACTTTCATTTCAGATTGAAATCGTCGACATGCACTTCGGCACTGGCCCGTTGCAAATTATGCAAACTGAACAAGATCCATATATACTCCATGATTATCTGCATGAAATAGAGACTTGCTACAACAATTCGAAGAGTGTCTTTTTCCTAGTAAGTGCCCGCACATGTACACAAATCTTTATACCCACACACACACACACACACACAAGTACCTAGGCATAAGCTCTGTCGCTGGCAGAGGAAAATCTCTTCTAATGCAATTTACAAATTATCATTTTCACTCCTCAATTGCTTTTATAGGCACTTATCGGTGATAGCATCGGTCCCATGCCATTACCGACACACATCGACGAAGATATTTTCACCGACATACTACAGCAGGCGCAAACGAGCAGTGACGACCGAAAGCTCTTACAAAAATGGTACGCAAAGGACAACACAGCAGACGCAAAAACTGCAAACAGCAGCGGAGAGGGAGGCGTTGCGCCCACACACGCATACGTGCTCAAGCAGGACTATCGGTGAGTGATGTCTGGATAATTTGGTATAATTGGATATTTATGAAATAATAAATGCGTATTAAGTTATAAGTTATATGAAATTACACACCAACACACGTACAAACACACGTATATACATATGAGTGCCTCTGCTCGTATAGTTAATAGGGTTATTTATATTTGTATTATATTAATCTTTTTTTTTCAATTTCTTATCCACTGGAGCACATAGCGATACAAAAATGTATTTGTGTGTGTGTGTGTGAATGTTGCTTTGTTTGAAGACACAATAAAACTCAAATTAAGCATTTACAAAACAATAAACTTCGATTATCTGCTTTCCCAGTTCAACCTCAAATTATGCAGCGTACGCGTTTGTTGCCTTAAAGCACTTGAGTCGTGTTAAAGTATTTAGGCAAGAATGTGTAGGAAAAAGTGGTAATCGTTTTGTGGGTGGGTTGCTTTTGTAATTGAAATACTTTTGCTGCCAAGAAACTCGTTGAAAATGAAATTAACGAGTTTACTGACTTAGTACCAAAATATTCGGGTTGATTGACTGAGATAACGATGAAGTGTGTGTAGTATAATTTAATGAGTACCGCTTTTACGATTCAGATTATTCTCACAGTTTCAACTTCTCATCGCCCACTATGTTTTTCATTGGTATTAGAAGGTAAAGACTCAAGCTGTGATTTATTTGATTGGTGATAACTTTAATAAGTGTTCATTCGCCCCAGTCTACAAGTATATTTAGCATATATTCGTACTAAAATGGTGAGAATCTATTTTAGTAACTTTTGTTTTTACATCAATATTTCTTTAGGCGCTCGAATGTAGGCAAAATGTTACCTGCAAAATGTTACCTACAATTAGGCATAAGACATCCGCATTTATTTTTGATGATTATTTCTCAAGTAAATCTGTTATATTATGCTTTTAGAGATTACAGAGCAGATTTATTTATACACCTCATGAAAAAAAGAAAAGAATTGAAAAAATAACTTGCGATATTTAACCACTCAAAAAGAATATAAGCGCTGGATGTAAGATTTTAGTAATGAAGCGATTGTAAACTGCTCAGGTTTAGCCCCAATTTTTTCTTTATACATATATTATATATGCTGCTCTATGAGACCTTAATAAGTAAGAAACCGTCAAAGCCGAAAGTTTAATCGTTACTGCTTCTCTCCGATACCTTGCTAAATAACAATTTTACTGTTAGTTTTTGAACAACAATAAAAAGACCTTCAAGCTATTGGCTGAAATTTGTTCGAGTTCTTCAAGCATAATTTTAAGAGTCTATCATCAATGATTAATTAGTTCAAAAACCTCCTTGCAGGTTGGTCTTCCCTGTAATACATGGTAATCGAAGAGACTTTGCTCTGAAATTCACAATTTAGCGTTGCGAAAAACCATTAAATATCAGCTAACATATCTTATCAAGATTAACATGGACTGAAAACAAACAACATCTTCAAACTTTTGACATTTTTGGCCTTTGGCTAGATTGTTGGACAATTTCGACGTCATATTCATAAACCCACGTCTTGTTAGCAGTAATGATACATTTGTTAATTTAGGGTTCTTAGCTATGTTGTCAACCATCTATTTCGGGTCCTTTACTCGTCATCATTTTTGATCCCTCAGAAATATTGAGATACTCTACTATCTCTCTGATACCAAAATTTCAACACAAACTTTACGCGTTGTAAACAAAAATCTACCAAACAGATGTCTTTAGCGATCGGTATTGTATAAGTGCGATCGGCTTACACTACTTATATATGGCGTTAGAAAGACAAGATTTTATACCACTCACTGGATCAGTATTGTTTAAGCAAGCGTCAAAGAGAAAATATATTTTACAATTTTATTTTAGAGTTTTTCATTGATAAAAACAAAAAACGCTAGTGAGACAGCTAAAAGTGTGAATAGTTTTTAGTTAGCGGTTATCGAACAAAACGGTGCATATTTGACCTGATTCAGATAATTCTAACCATGCTAAATAAAACCTAATATTTTATGCAAACATTATGGATTTCTTTTTGTTAGACCTATTACTAAAAAGTTTAACATTAATTAAGCAACCAAAGAAGTGAATCTGATCGAGATTGGCTTTGTTTTACTCCAACGTCAACTCAACTCAAATATCTCTGAGGGTGTAGCTAAAGTTACGACTCAAGGCTCTCATTAATATAAACACTTTTGTATACGAAATGTTTGTACTTTAAAATTACTTACAACAAAATTAAAAGTAAAGTACATAAATATGTAGCTCTTCTGCTCTTTATACGGCATTCTGAATATTATTTCAAAGCAACGTTTACCATCTCTTCGCCCGTTCATCCTTGCATTGCTTCTTATCAAGCAGTGCTTTGCTATGTATTAGTTACTGGTGCAAGTTACTAAATAACTTTAAAGCGTTAGTAAGTAAATTCAGCTGCCATTGCACGCTCCGCCAGCGATTTTAACCGCGCCACAGCCCACACTTCGTTACTGCACGCTGCTTCATTTGACTGAGTTAACAACTTCATATCCGCAATGACTCGAAGTGGAATGCAATTTTCCTTCGTCCCTCTACTTATGTGTTTTTTTAACGATCGAATTCATAGTTGCAGATAATAAGTGCGCAAACAGTTAAACTTTCAACGTTTTCTTTGCTTCTAATGCGAGTGAGAGGGTGGGGCTTGTTTGTTGATTATTTTTCTCAGCTTTCTTGTCTACTGTATGCATACACACACACATACATACGTATCTCATTAAGATTACATAAACTTGGAAATTTTACAAAATGCAGCTATGAATCCGGAAGTGTCATTGTGACTGCAAATATTTTATGCACACATACACACATATTTACGCTTGAAAAAATACCAGCAGTTTGCTATAATCTGCCAGGAGGATATGCTTAAAATGTTATTTATTTCTTTCTGGATACTTGGAGCTTTAACCTGGATTCTGTTTTTTGAGAACGTTCGACAATTCTATATGGTAGCGAGAGAATCCGTTGAAGCACCTTTTCATAAACTAATAGAAACAAGAAAAAAAGTTAGTTGCGATTGCACTGAATCTATAATACCCTTCACAGATTCATTTTTCATAGTAAAAAAGGGTATAAAAAGGTCTTTGTCATGAGTGTGATCGGTCAGTTTGTACGGCAGCTATATACTATAGTTATCCGATCTGAACAATTTGTTCGTGCCAAATTTCGTGATGATATCTCGTAAATTAAATTGTGCTAAAATTCGTGAAGATATTTTGTCAATTAAAAAGTTTTCCATACAAGGACTTGATTTCGATAGATTAATTTGTATGACGGCTATAACCTGTACTAAATAATTTCAGATTTATATCTCAAAAAATTAGGGACTACTTCGCTCGACATCCTGATTATTCATAAATACATTTTAGAATCTCCCACGCTTCCTTCTGGGTTTTACAAACTTCGTGATAAGCGTAATTTACCCTGTTCAGGGCATAATAGGGATTTAGGAATATTCGAGAAAAAATACCTTTCGTTGCTGCAAAACTACATTGGTGTGCTGGTAGACGCCAATGAAATTTACGCTTCCATAACTAATTCTAATTTCGTTCGAAATTTATAGTAAATATTAACAAATACTTTTAAAAACAGGTGTTTTTATGCCAGGTATTTTTTCAATTATGTATCTTACCAAACCTGCTGACACTGGTTTTTTTAAGAAATTAGAGCTGATCAACACTATTCTGGAATTTGGAAAAGATTTCAAAACTAGAAAGGAATTAAATTATATACACCTCTTTCTTACTCTCTCTATCTCTGCCCCTCTCCCTTCTCATACTCCCTCGATCTCCCTCTCTGTCAGAGAGAAAAGCTTCAAATTTTTTAAAGTACCTATTTTAAATACTCAAAAGAACTCAAATGAATTATTCAGAAAGTATCACCACTGAAAACTGCTAAGAACTCATTTTCTCAATACCCAAGCCTTACAAGCATTACATCAATATGACACCATTACTGATGATTTATTCAAAATAATGAGGACCAGATATCGAGTAAATACTCAAAAATATTCATAAATAGAAAACTAAGTATCATCTGGATCATTACTATGTCTAGTAGTCTTATAATTCACCAGAAATACTCTAGAAGAACATAAAAATTAAACTTAAGTTTCTGCTCTCTATTTCCCAATATATTTACTTGATTCTTTAAAAAAAAAGTAATCACTTTGGTCTAAACAGTACTACATTATTATGCTCCCCACAGTTCAATGTTACTTGAAAAATGGCATCCGGAGTATTTGCAGCTGCGTGACGCTATTGAGCGCTCCTTGCGAAGCATTAAACAGAATGCAAACAGCAGTAAAACACAGCCGGACGACTTCACCAAGCGTGTGCAAAAACTAAGGGAAACTCAACTGGAAAAGGAAGTGCAAAGAGCACTGGGTAAGTGTGGAAAATGGCAAAGGAAATTCTTTACATAAAAATTAATGAAGTGGAGTTGAAAAAATAGTATAGGGAGTATACAATACCATAAGGTATTTATTTATGCTCTTATTTATACTATTTTATGAGCTGCTTAGAAGACCAACACTACTTTTTTTTTTTGAGTAAAAAAGTGTAAAATATTTGCAAAAATACTAAAATAAAAGTGTATTTCATTAATTTCTGTTACCACGACAGAGCTTTCGAACGACAAAATTTTGGCTGTGTTTCGTGAATGGTCTTCGCAAATGAATACCAAAAATGCGGAGGCAGGCGAACGATTAAGGAAAATGAAAGATGAGCTCACTATGAATCTGTCCTCCGATAATTATACCACATTAGTGTAAGTAAAAAAAATTAATTAAATAAAAAATTTTAATATTAACATTTTTACTAAAAATATTTTCTACTTAAAATCTCATAACATAATAAAAAATATGAATGAAACTAAATTAAATTTAAAATTATTCATGCTTTCACTGTGCCTTATATAACTATATTCTTTATACGAGTACATCAATAAATACTCTCACTCAAATCACAAATCAAAGTAAAGCCACTCACACTTTTCTCTCGTCTCCTACCAGTGTCGCTGGCAAATCGAATGAGGGCACAATCGATCCTGACAATGAGGATCATGAAACATATTTGAGCAAATTTAAAAACAAAGTATTTGACAAACTACGCTTTCTCATCGAAGAGCATATAACAAACGATCCTGATGTCATCAAGGGAAGAAGAAAGACTGTGCAGGTGAGGAATTAGTCACATACAATTAAGTATAACTTTCGTTAGTCGTTAAAACTGTATTAAAAATGTAATGGAGTGAGTACTGACATTTTAAAATGGCATACATACTACAACCAATACAACACAAAACTTGTACAGTTTATTACCAAAGCTTCGCGTGGACATTTCAAGTTGTCGTACGGTCGGTCGGTTGTTGCCTCTCCTTCATTAAAGTAATTGCGTGCCACAATGAAGGCAACAAAGACAACGAGTGCACATTTTTATAAACTCTTGTAGTAATAAATAATTCTTATGAAAGCAGACGACCAACTCCACGTCAAACGAGTAGCGACATTTAGACCAACTCTTTTTAATACCTTGAACAGCGTAGATTAAGTTTGCAAAGAAGACTTTGGAGACCCTATAAAATATATATATAAATGATTAGCATGACAAGCTAAGTCGCTTTAGTCATATTCGTCTGTCATTCCTTCTGTCCGTTTGTATGAACATGAACTAGTCCCTAAATTTTTGAGATAATTTGAGAACGAACAAATTTTGCACACTTTCTTTTCTCACACCGATATTGGACTACTAAAGGTGCCATATAAACTGAACAATCAGAATTGAATTATTGTATGGAAAACCAATCCTTTTATACCTTTTTATACTTCAAGAATTGCACCTGTGAAGGGTATTATAGCTTTGGTATAGCCGAAGTTAACTTTTTTTGTTGTTTTTGCGCTGCTAACGAGTTTGAGCAATTTAAAAGTTTGGTGTAGGCTCGTCACCAATTTTGAACTTCTACTGATTTTCGACTCATATACTCACGCATTCACCGTGTGATCCAATAATTTTGTTAGTAATTACTCGGATGGTCTGTCGGAAATTTGATGGATGTGTGCCATTGCGAGCGATACTTATTAAAAAGATTTAAAAGTCTGGAAAATAGCTTGGCAGAATTTAGTAGACAACTCACGACTAATTGTCTACTAAGGTATTAATATACTTTGTAGGAGGAAGGTTGATAGAAGGGGTGCCTTAAATCCTTAAACAATTGCTTAAATCCCTCAATGTATGTATTTGTGTAATACAACTAAACTAAATGAAGCGGTAAAAAAAAATACGTAAAAGTAAATCATATTATTATTGTCACATTAACTCTTAAAAAGGCATAGTTTTAGTTAAACTGAAATTCTCTCGTCCTAACCTCAATTTAATTTTCCTAAAACCAAACAACAAAAAGAAGCGATAAGTAAAAGACTCTCTTAAACTCATAAATCTGTAAATTATGAAGTAGGATAATTTCCCTACTGTGTTCTAGAGATATACTTATATGCTAACGTGTAAAATTAAATTGTAAAGTTGTGGGAACTCCTTTCAGTATATTAAAATTGCCAACACGTGTTTGTAAAAAATTCATACAAGCTAATTTTGTTAACAGCTTTTAATTAACTGATTTTTCTAACTTTTAAATTTGTTGGTGCCTGCATGAGTGTCATAATTATGTGTCAGAAATTTGAAGTGACTTTAATTGGCGAATCCAGCGCATCGAGCGTCAAAAACGTGCGAAGAAGGTTAAACTTCCTACCTAAATAGAATATTTATAGTTAAAGCCGAAAAGTTGGATGTTGTATAAAGTTAAAATATTTTATTGCGCACTGAGTTTAGCATGCAAAATATTTTCTTTAACTCATGGCACTAAACTCCGAGTTTTATAAACTCAAAACCTTAAACTTAAGTCTTTTTACATTTGCTACATTTTATTGTTAAATTTAGTCGCAATTCATATATAAAAATGTGAAATTAAACTCAGTGTTTAACTAAGGCTAAATTTTAAACTTAAGTTTTCTTACATTTGATTGTTTAAACGCCTAAGTAAAGCTTATTCAATTGTTTGACAAACTTTAGCAAACCTAAATCTGACAAGCAGACAAATTAAATTTGGAAGACTTCATAAAAACTGTCACTCACGTCACTTTTAATTACCCTGTTTGCTGCAAAATGGTGGTCTTAAAACTTGTAAAGTTTTTACGCACAGTGAGCCTTTTTGAATGCTACTGACGGCGAGTGAGTTTGCGTCTTCAATTTATTTTTAAATTCCAAGCGCATGCAGTTTTTCAATTAAAAGCTAACAGACAGGTATACAAGGAATATGAATTTCAACATTTTTCCATTCATCAACTTTACCGTAAGCATGCCTTTGTACGCGGTTAAACAAAGCGCATAAACCTTAGGCCAAACTGACAAAGGCAAAGAGAGCGAGAGAAAGAGAATACAAAATATATAAAAAAGTGAAAAATTCTATATGGTATATATCATTATTTTTTATTTTGCTGCGCTTACAGATTTTCAAGCTTATGTCCAATTTTTAATTTTTTATATTCCACGTTTTTTCGCCCAACTGCTTTAGCCATAATTTTATGGACAAAAAAGGCAGGGAAAAAACGCAAACGTAAATCTGCCGTTTATTGTACGAATTTTCACGCAAGCAATGAGTTGTTGTTGCACAAGCGCCTGCTAGCGTTTTTATTTTATTTTATTTGTACGTGTGTAAAAAACTTTGAAACGCTAGCAATAAACGGGCTGAAACAAAGCCTTGCCTGCCTTAAATGTATTCGCTTGTCGTTGTTGTTGCTCTTGCTTGCTGAATTATCATACCCATATACCACTCTTCTTTTGTTTTTGTTTGCCACAACCAACAACACCACGTAATGCTTGTTGCTGTGGCAAAACAATGGTTCATGCGTCCCACACCCTCCCAACCCCTTTTCGATTTTGTTTTTTCGTTCCCCCTTTTTCATTCCTCGCCTGCAGTTATGTGTTTGTGGTGGCACGAAGGCATTATGGCCAACCAAAGGCACGGAAGTTGGAGGGGTGCAAGCAAAAAACTAACCGAAAGGAAAAAGGAAAATTCAAACAAAAACAAAATGTTGGCATAATTTGTGGGTGCGAAATATTTTTATTTAGTTGTTGTTGCTGTGCGTTTTGTTTTTTGTAGCCTTTTCAAAAATTACAAAAAAATACAGACAATCAAATGGGACTGTGGCATACCTGGAAATCCATGCCAATTCTCGCTAAAGAAAAAAAATGCCAGCAAATTGTGTTGTGTGCGGGACGGAAGGCGTTTAATTAATGATACTTTATTATAAGCCGCATGAAATTGCCTCTTCGACGTGCAAGTAGTCACGCCAGCCTGCGTAATTATTACATAAAATTCGCTATATTTATTGTGTCAATGTGGCTTATTGCCGCATATGTGGCAAGTAATAAATTGTACGCCCTTGACGAGGCCAAAATTAGTTACGGCAATCATTCAAGGTTTATGCATATATGTATATGTATTTTGTGAAAATATCTCGTCGAATATAAAAGTGTTTGCCATGAAGACTTGATTTGGATCGATCAGTTTGTATGGCAGCTATATAATATAGTGGTCCGATTCAGACAATGTGTTCTGAGATTGTAGCCTTGGCTTGGGTAATAATCCATGCAAAATGTTGTGAAGATATCTTGTCAAATAAAAAAGTTTTTCATATAAGAACTTGATTTTGATCTGACATTTTGTTTGGCGGCTATATGCTGCAGTGGTTCGATATCAGCGGTTCCGACAAATAAGCGGTTTCTTGGTGAGAAAAGAACATATGCAAAACTCAAACTTCCATCAGTGATAAAATATCTTTTGGGGCTCGGATGTCTCTTGGAAATATGATTTACATACAAATTACCAAATTATGAGTTAGTTTAAGTAACAATACGACTCATGTATAATGATATTATCACAGTTCGGAAGCTCAAGAAGTAGCCAGCATATACGCTCAATGTGCGGCATAGAACTTAAAATAAACCCCTTTCTTCCAAAGCAAAGCAGCTGCCAATTTCTGCCTCTACTGTGGTTATATAATATATAATATTAATATCGTTAATGACTTTTCCAATAAATTTCAACTTCCCTAAAGGGTTGACATCCACGAATTGTGATAAGTCACACTAAACTTCGTTGAAAATTCCCGCAAATAAATAAATAATTTATTTTTAATAATAGCAAATTTGTTTTTGTTAGTTGTGGTGTTATGCTATGAATGATATATGGGCATTAGTTGTGAAATCTGCAGCTGCTCCAGTAATTAAGAGCTTCCGCCAAAAACTTTAGCGCAAAAATCAAGATATTCATGGTGAAAAAAAACGCAGACAAGCAAAGCCGACAACGCGCAGCTGCTACAAGAGCACACAGCCAAACAGGATAATTTCTTAACAGCTGCTAACGAGCAACCAAAAGGATTCGCCGCAAACTGTTTCAAGAATTTTAACGAAATATTCGAAAGAAAGTACACACGTAAACACACTCACACAAAATTGGATGTGCACAAATTTGTTTATGGATTAAAATATAATGAGAAATTAATTAAAGGCAAACAAAACAATGGCGTAATGAGTTCATGTTTGTAAAATTTTGGTTTAATATTGTTGGTCACTCTGTTAAACACGATCATTTAATCGTACACCTCTGATGATGAGTTCGTAAGCTTTGCCTCTAAAGTTTTCGTGCACATTTTAGACGCTTTAGGCGGCGAGAGTTTTTGAAAAGCCTTTTGAAATTCTCGTTCTTCGATCTTAGGAACACGCATTTATCTACACTATTTATTTTTTGTCCATACTAGGAGCACAAACCAGAAAACAGTTACCAAGGATGACATTTTTTAAAAACAAATTAAAATTTTGGCAAACATTTCATGTTAAATAAAAAATATGGCGAAATTAAGGGACAAATCTAGTGGGAAATTAAAAAATAATTTTTTTCAGATCATTTCTATATATAGTTCTTCATACAATTATGGCGGTCTAAAAATTACCAATATTTTGGGTAAAATTCAACTTTTCATGACGCCGCTATTTTGTCAATCTTCCATCTTATTTTCCCAAAAGTCGCCTCATTCTACGTATGATCCTTAGGCTTGGTTCTATTGCTCCTTTAAGCAACTCGCTGAATATTATAATTGAAATATCATGAACTCAGTATATATTTTCTTACAATTGGTAGGTTTATTAATCTGTTAGCCTCACACGTTGTACTCAATTTCTCGAGACACGATTTCAATGTCAGCAATACAAAATGTCCCTCATATGCCCCAACAAACCAACCACACATTATATGTACAAATATGCAGATTTCCATAGAAATCGCATTGACATACAAACATGCGAGTATTTGCATAAAGTGCATAATGCCAGGAGAGAACTTTCATTATTTTAATTAACAAAACTACACGCAGCTAATTAAAATAAACACATTGATGTGCTCAACACTTAAATAATTGTGTACACAACACCAAGTTGATTACTGGAGCAAAATACAATGTGAAAGAGCAAATGCACTTGTATTTAAAATTTGTCAATATTTATTTAAATGCTAACACATGTATATTGTATATTAATGCACTTGTACATACATTAGTATGCTTTGTTTCATTGGAAATATAAGCAAAACCGCTCAGTTCTTGTGTTAAGAAAGTTGTTGCCTTGCAAGACATCGAAAATTGTGTAGGCGATTTGCATTAAATGGAGATATGAGGAAATAATGTAGTATTGTGCATTAATTAACTAAACCACAAAAGATTTAAATGAATAAACTTAATTGAAAAAGATGTCTACTGAAAGGATTTCGTGGTTTCAGTTTCTAGTTAAACGAGAACCTCTCAAGAGATACGTGTAAGGGAATTTACTGTTACAATTCTTCATAGCTTACTTAAGGGGTTACATGGATTTCGTTGAGCAAAAACCGCCCTATTTGCAAAATTTTTTTTTTCATCTTAAAAATTAAATACTTTATTTAAATTTTATTATTCCGAAGATACATATTTAGTAAAAATTTCGTGAAATTTACAAAGAAAACTAATCAAAACTCGGTCATTACGACGTCATTTTCGGCAGTCCCTCGGAAAAAATGTGCTTCCGCATTGACAGCAGAATTTCTGACAGGATTATCAAGAATAAAAAGAAAAATATACGTGTTTGAACTAAGACCATTAACAAGGTACGGAGATGGAGAAAAACGAAATAAAGTGAAAATTGTATTTTGACATTTGACGTTTTTACAAAAACATGCAAATTTTGGTGAAAATTTCTCGACGTTTTTTGTTTTTTAAATAATTGTAATTGAACACACAAAATTCCTACGCGGCAAGACTTTGTAAATTATATCTCAAAGACATGTGTAAAATTGCATTAAGATTGGTTGCGTAGTTCGTGAGAAATCTTGACTTTGAAAAACAGTTTCGAGAGAAAGGCGTTCAAAGTTTAAAGTGACTACATATCTGACCTCGAGCGCACAACTCAAAGCTGTATCACCAAAACTATTACTGGTATCAACTTAAGAATTTATAAACTGAAAGATCAAAACTATAATAAAGATATTTTTATACCATTTTAAGCTACAAAATATCCACCTGTGAACGGTATTATACCTTCGGTGCAGCCAAAGTTAACGTGTTGTCTTGTTTTTTTTTTATTTTACTTTATTTTAAATTATTGCACAAAACTTTCTAAAGTTGATTTGCGGCGGTGAAAACTGCATTTAATTTAATTATTTGTGCACCTTACTCTTCTTTTCAGCTTTCTTTCGCTACACCTGCTTGTTTGACATGCATTCCCACAAGCCTACATGAGAAATGACTACTCGTAAATGTCGCAACTTTTTAACCGCATTTTAACAAGTGCAACAAATTTTCACACTTGTTCCACCTTTTTATGAGTCAAGCAGCGTTTCACATTGTTGGCGTCGCTTTTGTTGTAGCAAAAATGCATTTTTAATGTTACACTTAGCCAAGACAAAAAAACATGCGAATAAGCGAGGTGAGAGGGTTAGAGGGTTAGACAAACACACTAGATACGCAAACATACATACAAATTCAACATTTTACCGTTTTATTTAATTTTGCTCTTAGTTTTGTGTTTTAGAACTTTGACGTCTGTCATTGCTGTCAGGGCTAAGCAGTAAACGTCAACTGCTTTAACATATTCATTACTTAAGAATGCACTTAAAAATGCATGAAAATTTAGCGTTTTTCGCTTTTCAACTATTTTCACCTTCTACTTCTTTCATTGCTTTTGTCTTTCGTAATATTTCACTAGAATACGCTGTCGCACGTTGCATTTCAAGCGATTTGCCGTTGCACGCCATTGATGTTGCCATTGCAACATTGAAAAGCGCATTTCACTGCACGCTGCAACGCATTATGCAAATACATGTTTATGCCTCATTTTGCTTAGCCACACTGCCACACTGGCTGAAGGACAACATGCAAAGCAGCTAAAAATAAAAATTTATTTTTCCACATATATTATATTTGCACATAAATGGCCCTTCAATTCTGAATCGCTGGTGTTCTTACTTTATGCCACCAATTCGCGCTTGCAACGTTCACTTCCAACAAGGACAGCGCAGCAAATAAAAGTCCCTTTTGCACCTCCGCGTAACCTGTTTACGTGGCGAGTAGGTATGTATGTAATTTGTGTGTGTATGTGTGCTTGTGCATGCTTAAAAAAGCGCTTAGAATACCCACTCGTTTAATGCAAACATCAAACTAAAGCCCTCAAATTGGCATGCCTTCACATTTTTTAGTGGTAGCCAAGCGTTTGCATCCGTTAGGTGGGCATAAGCACAAACAATAATGGACCAGTTTTAGTATCGCTATCATTTTAAGCGTTTTGGCGTGGCTGTCAACTTTTTTAAGCATTCTCCTGCTAATGGCCTTTTTATGTGAATGCAAATTCTTAAAAGCTCACAGACGCATAGCTTTTACAGCTTTTCGTCAGCAAAATTTCGGTTGAATGTCTGCGTGTTATAAGCAAAGCGTCAATTAAATAATGATAAACTTTTTATTTTAGTGGTGATTTGAGGTATCTCCTCTCATTTTACGAATAGTTGTTGTTGTAGTTGTTATACGCACCGATTATGCTATGCTTTCTATGGAAATGCCACGGTGTTTATGACGATAAATTGTAGACAGGACATAACCTGTTGGTAAGACCCTGTTTTGGCTTCCTGTTTAGGATAATTCACTATTTTGACCGCCCCTTCTGGCCTCACTCAACTTTGGTCTTACAGTCTTTTTAAATTTTTGTTCTATAATTATATGAGCGACTCTTACAGTTGCTTTGATTTAATCAATAATTTATATGTGATGGTTTTTTATGAGCTGAAAGGTACTGCGAAAGGCAGCAAACTAGTTCGTAAACTTTGAATCTGAAGAAGAAGATATCCAATAGCAATTAATACAGCATAAACAATGCTGTCTCCTTCAAAGAGAGCATTACTTAATTGCTTTACCACGCCTTCCAAAACATCCAAGTACAACACATTTGCCCCAGTTTTAACCCCTTTTTTACAGAAGTGAAAAGATATAACGCTACCAATCATTACAGCTGCTGGGTGGTGACCCGGTTAAACCCTTGGAATAACATTTTTTGTGTTTTTGGAATTTTTTCGTGGATTTACTCGTTTTGTTAACTAAAAACTACTTTAACCGTGGACATTTTTGCATCTGTTAAAAGGATAACCACCGTGTACCAAGGAAGAATCCGCTTTCTTCTTTTGAGCCCAATTGTTGTACGTTGTCAGAAGATGACCAGTTCACGATGCATTGTAAACTTTGTAACATAATTTATGGCAAGACTAAGTAGTTCTTTTTGTTACGTTCCTAATAAGTCTTGTTAAGATTCTAAAACAGTGTCGCAATTCCAATTTAATTCCGTCAATTTTCACGTCTTTCTTCAAAACCATTCCCTCCAATCGAATATGACACCTTTAATCAAACTCATCATAAATTTACATGTATAACTTAAAGAAGTAGCTTTTAAAGGTATTTAACCTTGTCTCGTGCGCACCACACACATCCCCGCACCACACACACCAGGCAATACTTTCCCAATGCCATACTTTCAATATTTTCAATTTTCTTATTTCCTTGCATTCATGAACCGTTTCCTTGTTGAACGGTCTCGAAGCGGGGCGAAGGATGGTGGGTGGGCACGTGCAGCTTTAAGTCATGTGGGCAGCTCGTTTCCGATTCGTTGCCTGATTGTGCAATTTGCGGAATCAAGCGAAGGCAAAGTGTGCCAATAGCCTCGAGGGTATTCAGATGTGCAAAATTCATTTTTTTACATATTTGTTATTCATTAACAATAAAAAAAACACGACAGGTAAGGTGTTGAGGAAAACGTATTGAGGAAAATTTTTCAAATTATATGGTTATGCTAGTGACTTCCGAGAAGCGTTTTTTATGAAAAAGTTTTAAATAAAAGTTATGTAAAAAAATTTAGTACTTATAATCATTAGCGCTTAAGCAATTTCATTCAAAAAAGTTACTAGTCATTATTTCACGCGCTCCCTCTCTCTTTTTATTTTTAGGAAATTTTCCACGAACATGCCACACACTTACGCATCCTCCGCGAACATCACGATACCGCAGCACTCGCCTCAAGCCGCGTGCCCGGCCGTCTGCGTCAGAATCTTCTGGCCAATTTTCGCAATGGCAGTCGCCATGCGCCCTACTTCATCTACGGACCACACGGCAGTGGTAAGAGCGCGCTCATGGTCAACTTGTACCAGCAGTGCCGAGACTGGTTCAATTCAACGCGTGTTTATCGCGTTATGCGCTTCGCTGCCGCTTCACCACGTTCCGCTTACAATCTGGAATTGCTGCGCGTTATTTGCCAACAAATCTCCATTATTTATGATATACCAGAGGGTTATCTGCCCAAGGATGCCTCCTTCGATCCGGTGTATATTAACAGCTGGTTCCAAAATTTGCTGCGTCGCATTGAGGATATGAATAATGACATATTTTTCATATTCATCGATGACTTGCATTTATTGAATCCACTCGATTGTGACGTGGTCGCGGCATTATCCTGGTTGCCGACGTCTTTGCCGTGGAATGTGCAGCTTATTTGCTCCACAACTACGCCCATCGATCAATTACGCTTCACACCTATACAACGTGATCGCTTCAAGTCCGCGGAGTTTCTTTTCGATTTGTCAACGGAGGAGAATCGCACCGAGTTGCATAAGCCTCTGGCACTTGCGGCCGGTTTGGGGGATATTTCATTTACAGATTTCGTGGCGCACGAATTCGATCGTTTAGAGGCATGTTATGGCAGAAAATGCTTGGCACGCTTGGCCGGCTATATCACATGCTCGGAGTTTGGCTTATCAGAAACAGAGTTGTTGGAGCTGTTGATGCCTACTGAGGATCCGGAAATGTTCGTGGATACGGAACGCGGCAATTTCAACTTTTCCACATTCAAGCAGATACATAATGATATGAGTAAGCATGCCATAAATTATAGAGAGAGATATTTTTTTATTGTTCGCTGCTCATATACGCCGGGCTGCCATTTTCAATAAATACTATTTTTCTCATCTAAATCTATCTTTCGCTAAACCAAACAACATTCCTTGCGTCCATTTCAGAATTTCTACTGCGCGATAAAATAATGTCTGGTAAAGTGTTGCTGCAGTGGCGCCACAGTTACTGCGCCGAGCTCTCGAGAAAGCGCTATATGGACGCCCAGAGCACACGTGCCATGCACATAGCCATTGCCAATATATTCTTTCAGCAGGAGAATGAGGAGAACGACGCCAGCACAAGTGAGAATGCCTCAGGTGAAAGTGACAAACACTCAGGTGAATTGAAAATACAGTTATTTTACTTACATTACGAATGCAGACGTGTGTGATTACTTATACGCCATAGTGTGCCACAACTTTTATTTCCTAGTTAAGCAAATTATTTATGAGAGAACTGCAATGTACATGCATTGTCCATAAAAAGTATGAAATATTATTATTTTTTTTTGATATCTGCATAGAATTATTATTTTCCTTTGTACGCATACATTTACCCATATCCTTGGTTCTTATTTTTTCCATTTCTGCAATGCAGTTATCAGTCAAAAGGAGAAGGAGAGCATATCGGCATCCGAACGCAAATCATCATCACATCACAATGATGACACATCCACCTTTTATAATCCCATCGCCGCCGATGTCTCGTACAGTATGCGTCATGTGGAGGAGAGTTGGCATCATTTAATGCGCTCCGACGACATTGCGAAATTTAAACAAATTGCTGTTTGTAATTTCGACTTTCTTTTGGCAGCGGTAAGTTCAAACACATTTACATACACTAGTTTTGATTGGTTTTATGAAAAAAATTTATTGCTTAGCGTATAAATGGAACTTCTTTCACATTATTATATATACTTAGTCTTGTTACAAAGTTTACAATGCGTGAAGTAAGGACAAATTCGCAGCAAAAATGGCTGTTATTTTATATTTTAATTTATAGCATTGTTTAGTCATATATAATATTCAGTTCAGTATTTGCTTTCGCTTGAACCATAAAACCGGTTCGCTAACGCATTCTCATAAGTCATCTGCAAGTCCTGATTTTAATCCATTAAACTATAGCTTGTGGCCAGAATTGGAAAACATGTCCTGTCAAATACCCCACAGAAATTTGGGGAAAAAATCTTTGTTCGATTTGTATGTAATATTAAATTTCATAAAATGTCTGAAGAATAGACTTTCTTAAAGTTTGATAACACTTTCAGAATCCTTTGGGATATACACTTCATATTAAGAAAAGGTTGTGTCAAGAGTATAGACATACTTTTTTGTAGATTTCCTTAATTAAAATCAATAAAGTAGTGCAAAAACTAACAACCTCAAATCTGAGCTGACAAAAAAGTGATTAGGAATCTTGACATTTAGCAGATGATCTGCTACAGGACATTACTCATGTAACACGATAGCTTGTACTGATGATAAAAAATTTATTGATGAACTATTGAAACTCTCCGGATCTCTTATGGCAGCACTTTCGGGCTTTATTCCTCAAATTAATATGTCTGTAAATTAAAAGGGGATGACAAGTGTTATTCAAATATTACAGGATTTTCTATTTCTAACCCCTCCTAATTTCTAAAGCCTCCAAAGGCTTAAAATTTATTTTCACACTTTCTCATTTGAAAATAAAACACAACTTCGAGTAAAAACCCGGTACTTATAAGACCAAGTCTCGTCAAATGTAAATTTCTTTAAAATTGAAATCTTTAAGACTGCAAAACATTCATTTAAATTAGCATACACAATTTTAATTCTACACTTAAAAAAAAAATACGAAAAGTTGAACATTTCTCAAATAAACCTTGAAATGTGCATTTTGTCCAGTTTTCTATTTACTGCGCTTACATTTCACATTTACTACAAAGAAGTGAAACCTTAATTTAATTACATAGGCAAACTTTGCATTTTTAATTAAAACTATTGCCAGCAAGCGCGCGCGCGCTTTAAATAAGCAACATTTCTACATCGCACAGCTGCGAGGCATATCAGCGCTCGTTCGCCGCTCCATATATAATTTAGTGAAATGCATGTTCTAAGGCTTTATCTAGGGTTTCCTCTACACGTTTTAGCGCGCCAATTGTAATGCCTGCCAGTCGTTCGGACTTTTGTAGAGTAAGCATGGCTCAGCGCTTATTCGCCGCCACCTACGACCCGCATTCATCAAACAACCTATAGTCCCGCCGTCTACTATTATCTTAACTTTGCTTTTCTGGCTGCATTATGCCGACTTTCTGCTTTCTGCTTTCTGGCATTGCTTTTGTGGCACGTTGCTGAAGCAACTGCCATTCGTGTTGTGTTTACTTAGTCTGTTGCACAGCGACGCCTGCCCTTCAGCCGCTGTTTGTGCAACCTAAATTGCAGCACGGAAATTAAGCTAACAAAAGCGTATACTCAACCTGTTTTGTTGTCATTCGAGTTGCAATTTTTACCATTACTTTTTAGTTTCTAATTTCAACAATTTTGTTTTTTTTTCTATGTTCCCCACTGCTATCTCAACTTCGTCGACTCTTAGGAAAACAATACAAGCATTCTCCTTTCGCTTGCAGTGGGCAAAAATTTTGAGATTGCCTCGCTTGCTCAGCGGCTCAAGTTGCCTGCGTTATTGTCCGTAGAAAAGCACAAGATTGCTTAAAAGAAAGGATGATATTTGCGTGTATGTGTGTGTGTAGTTGCTGCTGTAGGCGGCAAGTTTCACGAAATGTTTTTGTTGTGTATAAAATGAGTCTGATTCAATCTTTTAGCGCTGTTAAAATTATATTCTTGGATTTTCACTTAGTTTGCATAGTAATTGTATGCTGATGCAAATTGTGATTGCTGCCCTTTAGTCGAACAATGTTGCCACTTAATTGTTAATTGCAGTAATTGCTCTAAATTGAATGTATATTTGATTTAAACTACAAAGGTCTCTAATTGCTTTGGAAGTAGTTTTTATTAAAAATGTAAGTTGTTCAAATAATATTCAAAAGAAGAATTCAGGAGCTAAAAGTAGATTCGATTAAAATTATTTGCTCCTCTTCTCTTTTCCTTGAGCTTACAAAAGTATGCGGTTTTCTTTAAAGAAAAAAGCTTCTGAGAACTAATGTTCAGGAAACTTTACCAAGAGAACAAAATAAATATCCAAAGCTAAAGCTTAAAAAAAGAACACAGAAGTTCAATGTTCGAAGTTTTCCTTCGATATACTGATCAGAAAAGATCTCGAGGTTCTGTAACTACAATATATCGGTTTGTTAAGTGATGGCGTAGTTTGACTTTTAATCCGTTATTTTTATATTCTGAACATTTTCTTTCGATAATACAACAATTGCTTTCTTTCACCCACACTCGCTCATTTTACACTTAAATATATCGAAATTTGTGCTTAAAAAAGTATCTTAGAAGTTAACAGTGAACATGCTCTAGCTGAGTGAACGTACCAAAATTAGCTTGCACGATTTAAAAGTGGTGATTTTGGCTTGGAAGATGAAGAACATCCTAGGCGGTCAAAAAAAAGTTTGAAGATGAGGAAGCATTACTCGATGAAGATTGTTGCCAAACGTAAGAAGAGCTCGCAGAACTTTGGGAGCCACTCAAGCAACCGTTTCAAAATGTTCTAAAAGCTTTATTGGGGAACACTACTGACAACAACTCATCAAATTGAAACGCATGATTGCCGAAAAACACTCGAAATTTGCGACCAGACACGAAGCAATAATTTTTCTTCATGACAACGCTCGGCTTCATGTGGCTTAAATGCGGTTAAAAACTATTTGAAAAACAACGGCTGGAAGATTTTGCCTCACCAACCTTATAGCCCAGACCTTACCCATACTGACTACGAAAGGTAGACTATGCCTGCTCTGCGAAAACTTCAACTCTTCAGAGAACTAAGTCTCAAACTTTCTGTATACGAAACATATAGCTACGTCTCCTAACTCTCAATTTGCTATTGTACATAATCGATTAATATATAAAGAAGGCTGCTGGTAGAGATTATCTTTTTATTTAAATTTTTTATATTATCGAATATCGCTTTACTTTCTCGACATTGAGGAACATAATTTCGTACAAAAAAAAATGTAAACATGTCTTCATTACAGGTTCAAACCGTCTCCATCAGCTATCTGCGTTGCCTCATCGAGCATGTGCGCTGCTATCTGCTGGATCGCGATATCGAGCTCATCTATTATACAATACGCAAGTCGAGCGACGTGCTCACACGTGATCCGATGCAGCTTGGCTCACAGGTAGGCTTTTTGCAAATAAAATACAAAATAAAATAGCCAGCTATATACACACAAGTATAATATGTGGCACACATACACATACGAAATGCATTATTAAAATGGCATCCGCTTTATTTCGTCACTCCTGCGACAGCTCATCTCCTGGCTGCGGCCAATCAGCGAGCATGACGAGAACGACAACTCCCTGCTGAGCATAACGGTACGCTCGGCGACCGCCTGGTGCGACGGCTACACCGTACCACTACTGGTGCCACTAACCGGTTGGCTGCCGGCCACTTTGCCCTCACAGATACGCGTGATGACAGTGACCGGCACCGGACAGGTGCGTGACGTCTGCGTCTCGCCCACCAAGCAACATCTCATATTGGCAACCAAATCGGGCGACGTGCAACTGTGGCACATAATGAGCAACTCGTTGGAGCACATTTTTAAAGGTGAGCACAAATAACGGGTTTTAATTGCAGACAATGTATGTATGCGTGTGTGTATTTGCAACACTGTGCTGCATTTAATGACACGATACTTGTCTGTAAGGCACTTGTGCTGCTTCGGTTTTCTCATTTATTTCACCAAATTGCTATGGCTATTATCATTTAATTGCCAGTGGCATTGATTTTCATGCAATTTTTCGGATTGTATACCCGTAACTGCATTTTCTTTGTTTCATTACTTTTATATCGTATTTTCTCCGCCGTTATAGGTCACACCGCCGCAGTCACGTGTCTGCTAGTTGCCCAACAATCCGATATCCTGCTGACTGGCTCCGAGGACAACACGGTGCTCGTGTGGAACGTGACGACGCGTGCGCTGAAGACCCATATTAAGTAAGTCCATTCGAGCCAACGCTCAATCCAATTGACCCGTGCATCAAACGAATACTTTTGTACAATGTCTTCATACAATTACGCTGAGATTTAATTGTATGAGTTGCGTAAGTATGTGCCTGATGCATTGTTGTTGCTTTTTGATTCAATTACATTCCTCCTTTTCTACTCATTACTTGTTATTACTTTTTTTGTGTAATTCTTCGTTTCGCAGATCTCATGGTGGCATTGTGACGTGTGTCGCAGCTGGCGTCAATAACACTTTGGCCATTAGTGGCAGTGAGGACTCGACGATTGCAATTTCAGATATACACAGCGGCAAACTGGTAAGTTCTGTAGAACGGCTAAGTACTATAGAATATCATCTAGCGTAATGAGATAAGAAATGTACTTAAAAAGTTACCAAAGCAATCCATTAATGAAAGGAATAGTAGGAAAAATGTGAAGCGACGCGAACGATTTTACTTGAAATTTTGTGTTTCCAATGAAATCATGGCTTCAAAATAGTTGAAAATGTTGCAGAAGTGTACAGGTGTTTTCAAGGCTCGTACCAAAAATACCTAAATCTTGTGAGTAGAGTAGTAACCGAAAACAAAATACAAAAATTCGCTAAAGGCACTACATGCTTGTATTTGCTCAAAAAGAGCCTATTTTGAAGGCAACAATAAAGATCTGTTGTTTTCTATGTCAGTCTGGGTCAAATTTGATCAAATGGGAAATACTAAAAATGGATTTAAAATGTTTTCATAATTCGATTTCATAAGTAAAAACAAGAATATTTACTGAAATTATTAAATTACAGATTTTATCACATGCTTTTTATTATTTTTTATAAAAATAATTTTTGATAAAAAAAAATTAAAAGGGATTTTTAAATGATTTATTTTAAAAATGTGTCAAAGCTGTAGACTTAACTTTTTTCAAAACTGCTAAATTGTAAATTGTAATAAATGTAACTTTCCATTTAAATTTTATAATAATACTTCCTTCTGTTTAATATTGCAACATGTAGATAGCAAAGTGTTTGTCCGTCAAACATAATGGTTCACAGCAAGCTGGCCTTCCGCTTGGACATCCGTCTTATGTCGTATACGTATAATATGCCATGCACATATTGCTACTTGCATCCGTTCGAGAATATTCCCAGTAGGAATTTTAACTTGAGACAATTAATTGCAATATAAGCTGATAGCAAAACCGAAATTGCAAGTTTAAAAAGGCTTTTATATATTTAAAATTTGATATTTTGAGATTTGAGGGAGAATCTTGACATTGAAGTTGATTATATTATGATGATGATAACATTTAAAATTCAAGCATTGAACTAAAATTGCAGTTGCATACTACATAGTTCATGTGTACATCTCTAAAGGTGCTCTACTATAGGCTGAATTGATTATTTGACCAAAATTATGCAAAAAAATAGTTTCGAAATATAGCTATATGATTTTTATGCTTGATTTCATCTATCATCTAGCAGCGATAAAATCTCTTCCTTGCGTAATGCAACATGTTCCCAAGCCACATGTGCTTATAGAAACGCATTTGCTTTAACAAATTTAAATATTTATAACTTGAGTATAACCGTGCCTGTCAAGCTATTTCCAAGCTAGCGTGTAATAAATTTTATTTGAACATTTATGACGTTCTACGAGTGGATAGCTTTAACTGTATATGTCAGTTGCCTGCGCGAAGTTTTAAAAGCGATTTTTGACATACATATGTGCCTGCTTAAATGGAAACAAAGACACACTTGAATTTTAGTAAATGCGCTTGGTGTTAAAATCACATATTTCTCTTTAAGATAACAACTTTAAAAATTATTTATAGTAAATGGAAATTACTGCGCATATCCAAACCACTCACAGATAGAATAATTTTTCATTAATACTTATAAGTATTTATTTATTCTCTTTTGTAGCTGCACAAAATCACACATCATCGCGCTGCTGTGACGAGCGTTAAGGTAAGCAATGCCTGCGATGTGTTGATTTCATCAAGTCGCGATAAAACAATTTGCTTATGGTCCTTGGATGATTATACGTTGCTGAACAGCATGCAGATGTGCAGTCCAGTACGACGAATTGACATCTCATGTGACTCGGTAAGTGCCGAAATATGTAATTTCTGTTGCATTTAATTAAAATTGATATTTTGCGTATGTAATTGAAGAGAATTAAGTGCTGAAATAAGTATTCAAATGAAATGCACACACAAACGTATACATATGGTGGATGCGACATGTCGTATGCGCAACCTATCACTATGGTATTATATAATACGTAGATATGAGTGTAAGCCTTATTCATTTTGTTTGGTTATTTATTTGCTATTGCTTTAACCTTAACCTGTTGTGATTATAATCGTTGATCCCTCTGGCGCGAAACTCCGACACTTTCACGTTTTCCCGGCGGTATATTATTAACTAGTTGACTTATACGCAACACCTATGGTTGTGATTTTTGTGAAAGCTGATATTTTATGAAATTTTTGAATATTATTGTACGAACATTTTCATATATCCACTTTAATGCCATACGAACATTCCTCATATTTGGTATAAGTGTGGGTGCTAGGGTTTTACATGGATCGATTTCGTGCATTTTTGTTACTATATGACATATTTGAGTGTATTTTAGTTAAAATTTATTATAGACATATGTGGTGTAAAATCAAACAGAAGAACTGGCATTTTTTAGACTGTATATGAAACTAGGTATAGACCGATTACAAGCAATTTTCAAAAAACAATTAAATTTTCAATAGTTGATTAAAGTTTTAATGTTGATTGTTGCAAAAAGTAGTATTCCTTGCATAATTTATCGAAATATACAATATTATATTATATTATTGAATATACAAAAAGCATTAACCACTACTCAAATATGTTAAAAAAAAGAAAAAAACGTGAACTTCAGTGTCACCGAATTTATAATACCCTGCACGAATAAAAAATGTATGGAACTTGATTTTAATCGATCAGTTTGTATAGCAGCTTTATGTTATAGTGGTCCAATCCACATAATTTCTTCGAAGATTGTAGCCTTGCTTTAGAAAAGTTTTGTAAAGATATCTTGTCAAACAAAAAAATGCTCCATACAAGGACTTGATTGTTATCGACCAGTGTGTATGGTAGCTATATGCTTGAGTGGTCCGATCTGAAAATTTGGTGAAGATATCTGCAAGTTTGGTGAAGATATCTGATCAAATAAAAAATTTTCCGATATCGGCAATTCCGATAAATATGCAGCTTTTTGGAGAAAAAGGAAAGTGTACTAAATTTTCGTTCGGTATCTCAAAAACTGAGGGACTAATTTGCGTTTATACCGACAGAGAGACGGACATGGCTAACTCGACTCAGCTTGTCACGCCGATCACTTATACAAGTATATATGTTTTCCGACGTTTCGGGTTCGTAGCAAACTTAAACCTATTCAGGGTATGAAAAGTATCTACGTTGACTATATACATGTATATATAAAAAACTTCCAGAAAAAAATATTATATATAAATATTTTATCACTCTAAGGACACAATTAAAGTCACAACACTCGTTCGATATGAAATACAGACATTGATTTGTCTTTGGATAGCTCAACGAATGCACAAAGCATGCTATCTCAATACCACTGAGTGCCACAAGTGAATTAAGTGCTGTAGCTAAAAAACAAAAGAAAATGGTTGAAACACTCAACAAACCGAAATCGCACAAACACAACAGAAAATTAGTTGAAGAATTGCATAGTTGAGTGGCTGAACGTGTAGCCCTGTCAGTTTCAGAACGAGCAGCATTAAGTACACTCACGTATAAACAGCAAATAGCAGCACTTCTACGACTGTGTTATTGTTGTTGTTTTTTTGTGATAAATCAGCATATATGTGGAGATAACAGCCAGAGTGGACATTTATCAAAAGGTCAGTTAGACAACGGCACTTCCTGACCAAGCTAGTTAAGTTGCGAAAATCATGTTTCACTTTTCACCCGTTTTTGCAACATTTGTTGCACCATGCGCCCAACATATACACGTTGGCCGGAAATGGATTTACCCCCAATGTATTGCCGTATTGTTGTTGCATAGACATCTGTGTTTTTGTTGGCCACGTTCATTGCAGTCTCGGAATTTCGCACAGCATCGACTTGAGAATCAGTTTATTGGTATTTCCTGTTCCGCCAGCACAAACATGTTTACTCGTATGTATGTATATGTGTGTACAAATGTCTGTACGTGGCAGTATGCTCGTCCTTTGACTCTTGTCATTTCCTACATTTTTATTTAACGGCAGCCGGCATATCTGTGGAATTCTTGCGAACACACACACAGACACACACTGCAGCGCGTGTTCGTAAATAATCAGCTCAGCTGGCCGCATTATGAGCATGAAGTTGTGGTTCGCGTAGTGCGCTGATATTGGTTGTAAAATAAGCGTAAAGAATTTTGACAGCAAAAATAAAAACGCCGTGGCCGTGGCCACCTTTATGATCGAAAGTAATGGGTGTGAAAATTGTGTAAAAGTCCGTTTTTTGTGTTTTTATTTACCATTATCATCGCCAATTTTTATGTCTTACTCAGTGCAAAAGTTAACTGATGCTCTTTTAGTTTTTAATGTCAAAGAGGCCAAACGAAAAGTTGTGATAATTTTTAATCATCAAATTTTAAATAGGGTCGCCTGTATAAATCTCCAGCTGGGTAGCTTATAGTTGATAATTCCCTCCAATCCCACCAAACATACAACAAAACCTTTCATATCGGCAATCCTGACTTTGCCATCGTTTGCGTCAGCTCAACGCGATTCGTCTACGACCGTTTTGGCTTGACGCTTACATAAATGACCCAGTAACCATCCGCTAAACTGCCGCCGAAATTAATATATTTGGTTGCGATTCACGATGGAAATTCGATCTAAGAGATTATTTATTGCGTTAACTCATGTGACACACATACATTGAGCTTCTTTTTATATCCAGTCTTATGGAAATTAACACAACGAAATCGACCACAATTGCGTGTAATATGCTTTTACAGTATCACCATAAACACTGTTCACATTTTCAGCATCTTTGCCTTCAACGAAGAAAATGTATAAAATATGGCGTAATTTCTCATTACTGGTTTCCATCTTTGACGCGTGCTCAAACAACACTGAGTCAAACAATCATAAAACTGTCTAAAAAGGTTTTTTAGTACGTTTTTAGTACAATTGCACTTATGCAACGCGAGGTACAAATTATTAAACCATCTATTGTAAAACTATGGGTTTCTTTCTACTAGACATGATGTTAAAACCATATTGATATTTACGTTAAGAGGTTTCGGAAAAAAAGGGTTGGTAGGTTGCCAAATATCCAAAAAGAAGTCCAGTCAGGGTGTCACTGTATCCCTACTGTGAATATCATACATGAAAGAGTTTCATGCCAATAATTTGTTTCTTTTTTTAATCAAATTGGGTTGGCTTAAGTCCACAATCCAAATCTTCAATTACTTTTACTTTAAAAAATTCCTATACCAAATATAAAGTTTATACGTGATGTACACTAAATACCATTATTGAAAGTATAAAAATGTTAATCTCTTCTCACCGCAGCTGTCGACGACGGCCACTTTAATTAAATTAAACATTTTCGCGCTTCTTCTTTATCATTCAACACCATTTTTCCCTTCACGGCGTCGTAAAACAGCACTAACCGTTATTTGTTTATACTCTTATTTTGCAGGTCTTTCTGTTGGCGCACTGTGAAGATAATGTCCTGTATTTGCGCACATTGGCCACTGGCAAGGAGCTGCATGCCCTAAAAGGTCACAAGTCACAGGTGAGTCATGAGAAATGAGTTAATTGTGCAAAGAAACAGAATAAAATAGGTTATTAAAATAAGGTAGAAAGAGAGTGCGCGATAGAAAAAGAAACGAATGTGTAGTTAATTATTCAAAATCTACTGAAAGGTGAAGGGTATTTTTTGTCTCCCTCTTTCACACTGAGTCTTAATAGTGATACAATTTCGTATATTTTTTTAAGGTTATCTAAGAAAGTATGAGCAAGGTATAACCCCAAAGAGTATAAACAAATTAGATGTTCTGTAATATATAATTTAAAAAGAGAGTAACTATTTCACTTGACTTGAACCCGATAGCTGACTGCTTAAATCTCACTTCTGCATACTCTCTAAAATAGCTCCATGCCATTGCCATCGCTAAGGACAGTCAACGCGCTGTCGTTGGTGGCGAGGACACACGCGCACTCATTTATGATATGCACTCCGGTCGCCTCATACGCTCAATGCCACCCAATCCCGGTTCGATTTCAGCCCTATATATAATGGATAACGATGATTTTCTAATCACAGTCGGCGGTAATAAAATCACTTTCTATTCATTCCGCAACGAAGAACTCTACGTACACCCATACTCGCATAATCAGCGCAGAAAACGTTCATTGAAACGTGCCCAACAATCGCAGCGTTCACCATCGACCACGCTGCCGCCGATTACATGTTTCGATATATCACGTGATTCACAATTAGCCGCCATCGCTTCTAGTCGCAGCGTACACATTTTAAAGATCAACACACCCGAGTATCAAATGACACTGGATGGGCACGCAGCACCGGTGACATGTTTAATCTTTGCGCCAAACGGTGAGTACTTGGCAACAGGTGCCGACGATCGCACGGTGAATGTTTGGAATTTGGCCTTGGGTGAGGTAACCAATTCCTTTAAGGTGAGTTGTCGATGTAAAGGTGTTCGTATATGCGTGTGGTAATAACAAATATGTATATTCTGTATATATTAGGGTCACAATGCATCGGTTTGTTGCGTCGTAGTGCTCATGGACTCACGCCGTATCATTTCAACCGATCGCGATTCCATGATGTATGTGTGGTTGGCCGAAGGCGGCAACTTATTACAAACCATACAGGGACCATACAAGTTTTTGGCTGCCACAAATAATATGAAGTTCGCAGTGAGTATCCAAATCGTAAATGGCTTGCAAACTTATTACCAGATCTTTTATACAATAGATAGTATAGTTGAGAGCCTCTGAGGTTAGGGAGAAATAAGTAATCAAAAAAAAATTCAAGGTATTCCAATAAAAGTTGCCATACTTGAGTGTCTAGTATTTCTTTGGAGACAGTAGTAAAATCGATCTTCTGCAACAAAATTCTGTAGCGCAACAAAAGTCCGTCACGCTCGTAGTGGATGAAGTACTATTATAGGGAAAGTTGAATCGATTTCAATAACTGTTTTAAATGTTTAATATAAAAATCGAATGATTTAAAACTAAAAAAGTTACAAAGTTGCCACTCATTTGAATATATAATTATTAATTAAAATAATACATTTACGAACTGGAAATCAACCATAAAAACAGAACCAATTTTAATAGTTTTATGGATTATTCGTTGTAAAAATCAAATTATTTAAAGTAAAAAAAGTTAGGATATTGCCATATGTTTCAAAATATTAATTTAAAAATAATAAGCTGTAAACTGGAAAAGTTTATGAAAGATTTAATATACGAGGATATTTTTTAAAATATTGCGAGATGGTTGCCACCTCTTTAAAATTTTAATTCGGTAAAATTGTCTAAATAAAAGGTATGTAGCTATGGTTTTAAAGCGTAAAATTTAAAATATTTTTAGAAAGTGTTGCCAACTGATTGAAAAAAAATGAATTCGAACAAACGGTTAACTAAATTTCATACTATAATATTATAAAATTTGAAGTATTTCGGAAACATGTGAAGAACATTAAAATATATTTCATAAGACCAGCAGTTAAGTACAGCATTAGTAGAAGAAACTTCTGGTAAATGGTATTACTTACATATTTATATGGTAGATTTATGCATTTATTTATTAGCTTTTTACATGTTATCAACCCTCCGTAGGTCTCTACAAATGGTGACAATACATTGAAGATCTGGTCACTAACGCGTGAAGATGAAAAGTACACCGTGTCACATTCGGACGAGATCACTTGCTTCACGATCACCGCCGACAGTTTGTATATAATAACCGGCTCGCGTGATATGTCCTTAAAGGTATGGCAAGCGACAGGCGGCAAGCTGGCACAAGTGCTCGTCGGGCACACCGATGCAGTAAATTGTGTTGCAGTGTCAGTGACCAACAAGACACAGGTCATATCCGGTTCAAAGGATACCAATCTCATCATTTGGGATCTGCATACAGGCGAGGAGCTGCATACGCTGGCCGGACATTTAGCACCGGTGCTGGGCGTCAGGGTGTCGGCAGATGGTATATATGAGTATTTAAGGGGAAGTGCACAGACTTAAAAGAAAACTTTTTTCCCAAACTTACGCTAGGTTCAACGGCCATTTCGGGCAGTGACGATAAGACACTAATTGTCTGGGAGACTAAACGCGGCTTGGCGCTCACTTCGCTACAAATGCATGTGCCCTTCCAACGTTTCGACATCAGTCTGGAATGTTCGCGTATTTTAGTGCAACTAATGGAGAGTTTCAATTTACCCGTTATTTGTCTACACAACACACCAGCACAATACGTTAAATTGCCCACCTACTCAGCTCCGGCAATGGATGCGGAAGGTTTGCTGCTGTTACAACAAAATTGCTTAATAAATCATGTAATTATAATTTTTATTATTATTTTACAGACTTACGCCCACAAGGTCCCAAGCGTCAAATGAAGCGTTTACTCAAGAAAGAGGTATCCCTGGACACATATACGTGGCAGAAGAAATACGGCCATCTGACGTCATCGGTTATGATGGCACAAGTAGATGAACGCCTGAAGCGACGCTTCTCTGTCTCCGCCAGCATGGAGGAAATTTCAAAAATAGCCGAAATGAAAACAATCACTTCACAAACCAATCTAGGTCCAGAGCAGGCCGCTTTGGCGCAATCGCAGCACTTCGATCAACTGGAAGCATTATGGAACAAACGGTCGCCACCGAGACGGAGACACAATGCGGTAGGTGAAAAACAAACGAAAATACCTTACCAAAAATTATGAAGTATATATATAATATAATATGTACTAAAATTAATTTGGTTGTATGATTTTTTACCTAACAATTTGACAGTAAATATATGTATATATACCATATATATTAACCTCTAATTAGCCGCTATACAAATGTACAAGTAGTAAAGTATCTTCAACCGTTGCCGGGCTTAACCTCAAAGTAAACAAAACATTTGTGTATATATATGTAGATAGACGCATATATACTAGTATTACATAATTTAATATAAAACTGCTTGTTAGTACTAATATTCAGCCGCGCATAGACTTAGTGCTTGGCTTCATTGTGTTAAAGAAATATCACATAATAATAACTGTTTCTAGAAATCGCTTATACTAATAGTAAATTGGCAACTTCAGTGCATGCTTTATGAAATAACTGGGAAATACTTGTAGCATATAGCAAACTCATGAAAAAATTTATATTTTTTTCGAAAAATTATATACCGCTAAGGGTAAGGAAAGGAACTAACCCTCCAAGTTTCATGCTTCTAAACCAAGCTCCAAAAACTTTCAGGATTAATTGATTATCAATTCATCTTCGATTCAGATACGTAAAATACTCGACGAAACGAAGTTTCGCTCTTAGACAAACGAAGACCTTGAAACGAATATAAACCCGATTTTCGTCAATATCACCCGTAGGTTCAAAACATCATTACTTTTTAAACAAAAAACAAAAACATTAAATTCGGTTGAACCGAAGATATAATATCCTCTACAAATAGAAAAGTTTTACATACAAGAACTGGATTTTGATCAATCAGTTTTTCTGGTAGCTGTATGCTATAGTGGTCCGATATCAGCGATTTCGACAAATTAGCTTCAGCTTTTCGGGAAGAAAAAGACGTTGCAAAATATCAGATCAATATCTTAAAAGTTTACCAACCTTGAAAATTTTTCAAACGGGATCACCCTCATCAAGCACGCCAATGATAATATGGTTCCAAGCCACTTTAGCAAACGCTAGACTAAGCTGCAACTCCAGCCCTTGCACCTAGACAAAACTCCTGTCTTTGTGTTGGCTTCCTAAGATCTCGTGGCTAATGCAGGCAGGTATATTTTTGAGAAATAAAAAATTACCCACTTTGAACACAGGATAAATTTCACACTTTCGCCAGAGTTGCCAACTGCATAAGTGTTTGTTTACTAACTAAATCTATAATTACCGCAATAAAGTGCACTGTCGATTATATATTTATTTAAGTATATTATAATTTCGCAATGTAAGTACTAATTATGTATGTATGTAGTTGTAAATTGTGTTTTTGAGAAAACTTCTTAATTTTTTGCTTCTTTCCTCTTTTGTTCTATTTCCAAAAAACCAACCACTAAACTATTTAAATCTAACAAAAAAAAAAAACACCAAACTGCAAACAAACAAAATCGTCACTGCACAGGGTCTCTCACGGCAAACATCGCTCGTCGAGGATCGCCTCGAGTCATCCGATGACGATGAGTATCACGACGAACGTACAGGTATGTTTTCACTCTCATGCGATGAAATACACTTATTATCACATATACCGAGCATGCTGCGAATGCGTTCACTTTCCTTGCAAGAGCACATTTGGGTCACATGTTGTATGAAGTTACCAATTGCCCATTTAGCACTAAATCAACACCAACAAATACACCGCCACCATTTCCACAATCACCAACACACTCACACCTCACAACACATCACCACCACTTTTACAACAGCCGGCGGCAACAGCAGCAATTTCGAAAAGCTAAGTAACAATAGTAATAGCAGTTGCCACAACAACAACAACAGCAACAGCGTTAATGGTAATAACACCAAACACCAAAAAAATCATACGCACACCTGTGCCTGTTTACTGCTGCACCAACAAAGCCAACTATCCAACGAGCAATATCAACAACGCCGCCGTTGCAACAGCAATGCCAGCGCTTTGTCGCCACAACCCGATTTAGTACGCGATTTGCAGTATGACGATGTGAACTCAACGCCCAATTCGCCTGGCGATAAATCAGACGACGCAACCGATTATCTCAGTCGCGCGCGTCACATCTTCCGCTGGCGCAGTTTTCGATCGCAGCGTGCGGCAAACGCACACAAGTGTCACTCCTTGCAACCGCAAATTTATTTAAACACCACAACAACTTTAAGCTCTACTCAAGTATCCAACTATCATTGCAGCGCACAGGCATGTTTACCACCCAGAGCCACGCCCATTATCATCGTAGAGAATTATGATCATCGCAATGTACAACAAGTGCGTACAAACCGAGTAATACATCCGAGTACTGGGCGCGCCGCTTGGGGTCAGACAGCCGATGAGACGGCTACCGAACTGCGTTGCGCCAAAAAGAAACATTGTGTGGGTAGTAAAGTTGTACCGCAAGCGGCTGGCACACGACAGCCCAAGCAGAGACCTTTCAGTGACACAACATCTCCAACACACGTTCGAATGTCCGAATATATACGACGCAGCTTGCATATGTCTCGCATATTTAAGAGATCACACTCGCATGGCGAGAAGTCTTCACTGCATGCGGATACTGATATCGGCAATAAGGGGAAAATGATGCCTCCGACTGCAATATAAACTGATGGCATATACTCTGAAAATCCGGGAGGTGCACTGTGTAGCAGAGCGCATAAGTTGCATAATAGATTTAAGCTAGAGAAGTCAAAAGAAGAAAGGCGCACTAAATCTGTGGATAAGGAGGGAGACCACACCAACGCTTCGTGTGTGACACAGTAGTGGATGGAGTAAAATAATTAGCACTAACCGTAAGCACATAGTTTGGGCTGTACATCGACCGGTTTTAAAACTATGGAAGCAGTTATAGGATCGATCTCAAAATTTTAATGTCAAACTTTATAATCTATTCAATTAAGTGAATAATTAGCAATCATTCACTGATTAAATCCCAAAACGTCTTACAGATTCTTAAATTGATCGGTACCATTGTCTATTTAACGGTTTTTCCTTCAATTTCGTATATCCTTCAGTCCGTTTTCCATCAAGCTGAGCATTGAGCTGCTCATTAACTTTACCAACTAAGTCAGAGTCTTATTATTTCTTAAAAGTCTATCAAGTTTTTGTTACCCTGTTTTTAGCCTCGTACCACCAGTGGTAAACTTGGTCACAATCAGGTGTAAGAGTTTCCAGTCTGTGTTCTTCTAACCGTAAATTTTTGAATTGCTCTTACTTACATAACTACTTTATAACTGTGTAAACTAAACAAAAGAGATTGCGGATAATCGAAAAATTCTTCTAGTATTTCTCCGTAGCAAAATAAGTTTCGTATTCGGGTTAGTGACATACTTTTTTTACTAGTGTATTCAAAACCATATTGAGAAAATTGCCAGCTGAAATCTCAACTAACAAGTGTCATTTTCTATCGCTTATAATCGTTTATTTTTCGATCTAAGAAATTAGTTTCTATGTAAAGAGGTATTACTGTACTTTTTGTAAAAAAAAGTTTGGCATAGTAACACAAAGCTGCGCGTAGTTTTCATTAATCCTTGATATTCTTTTTTTTGGAAATTAAAATAACCATCGACTAATCGATAAATTAAAAAAATTATTGCAACTATGCAATTAAACTGAGGTGTGTTCTCAAAATATAATGTGAAATTAGATATGCACACGACAGAAAACGATTGTAATATTAACATTTAATTGCTTTTTATAGTTTTAAGAAAAAGTTTTAGTAAATTTATTTAAAATGAGTGTTTTTGGTCACAACCAATATCAACTAATGAAGAAAAACGACTTAAAAATAGATAATTTATAAGAAAAACGAGTATTTTATATAAAATATATATGCAGCGTTCAACACTTTCTTTCAGCATACTTCACACAAATACCTATAAAAATACACAAGTCGAATCAGTCATAAAAGTGTACACATTTACACTCCCACGCTTGTTACATAACGGTACTATAGTTTGCCTGTTCCAAACACTTTTTTTATGAAATTTATTACTATTTTATCTTAAAATCTTTTCAATATATTTTCAATAATATTTCGCATGATCTTTGAGAACTATTTCCCAGATCTCGGTTGCCTTATAAATGTGCTTCAACCAAATATAAATATTTTACCACATTTTAGATTTGTAATTTTAAATATACGCAATAATAAGTAGCCGTGACTTGACGCATGAAAAAATCAAATTTTTGTAATTTAGTGTTTTTTATTTAATTATATTTTCGATGTAGAATATGTAACTTTTTATTTTATTTCTGCAGTCAAGTAAGTATGTGCAAGAGGTAAATTTAATGAAATGTAAAAATTTTTAAAATAATTCATATATTCTTTTTCATTTTGACCTGCACTCTGAAAATACAAATATCGACCCTTAAAGGGAATTCGAACTTCCTAATGTTCTGATTCGAATTTCTTATGGCCATCACAGCATAATTGGATATAATTTTAGCCTTTTATATTTCAACACTCTAACAGCTATTTTCATAAACAGTGCTCAGAAATCAATAGCCATTTTTAATAAGTCAATAATCTCATTCATAATCGTGCGTTTTGTTTTTTCAAAGTTTTGCCCATCTGAACTATAGTCTCGAAATTTGTGGATTTAAACCAAAAATAAACTGCAAATTTTTGATACCCTGTTCTGATGTGCACGGTATTTCGATGAGCATGTCTGCACCGACCGGAACAAATGGTAGTCAGAATGGGCAATGTCTGGGCAATAACGCGGTTGAGTCAAAACTTCCCAGCCGTTATGTTCCAAATAGTTTTTAACCGGTCCGAGAATTGTCATGATATAAAATTATTGCCTCGTGCCTAGTCGTGAATTCCGGGCGTTTTTGGCAATTACTCGCTTCAATTTGATTATTTGTTGTCGGTAGAGTTTCTCATTAATATTTTCACCCAGTTGTAGAAGCTCATAATACAGCACGACCTACTTATCCCACCTAATACAGATACACAAATATATATAAATTGATATACGGCTTTGCCGTTGATTTGACTGTTTGGCCAGATTTTAAATAGGATTTTTTGAATTTAGGGTAGTCGTAATGGATTCAATTTTCAACACCCGTCACAATCCGCTACAAAAACAAATTATTTTTCTAGCATTCAAGCAGCATTTCTGACATGCAAAATTATCTTTCAACGTCTCTTGGCTTCAATTCCTTGCTTTTAAATGTATCTAAAAAGATATTATCCCTTCTTGTATTTGTCAACAAACTTCACGGACTAATGCTTCCAGTTCGTCATCATTAAATTTTTTTTGGCAGCCAAAATCACACTTTTCTATCATGACAACCGCTTTTGGCTGGAGCATGTTCACCATAAACTTCTACCAAAATACGATGACTTTCGACCTACAAGTAGTTTTAAAGTTATATACTATGTATAGTACAGTTGAATTGTATTCAGTATATTCAGCGCATATGTGAATATCTGATTAAGTTGGTATAAGCGCTTGCTTTTCAACGTTATTATATTATGCCAGTCAATGTGTCTTATACCAGTGCTTTGTTCGATTCGCAATATGCAGTTTGATGATTCAAATACTAGTTATGGTTATCTACTTGTTTTGTGGCAGCTGTTTATTCGATTCGTCAGTCTCTTTGAGAATCGAACACAACTCATCACTCATAAGTTAGTTTTGAATACACTCCTAAGTGTATTGACTTACATCTCCAACTGAACCAAGGTGAGTATGTACACTTTTATTCGTAACTTCAAAAACATTTTTTAAGCACTATTCGTTAAGCAAACATAAAACATACTTTTTCACCAAATTTTTACTTAAATAAAATTAAATTTTCAACAATTTTACGAATGTTTTATTCTTCCTCCTAATGTAATATAATATATTTTTTGTGTATAGTACAGAATTTCTCGTTAAATACATAAGAGAATTGTTTTCGTGCTCTAAATGTTCCATTTCACAACTTATCGAGTAAAAGCAGTAAACCAATAATCCAATATATACAAATGTATAAATTTATTTGCATTTGGGTACCTTTGAATAAACTAACCATAATTTTGTTTTTATGTACATTTTACTTTGAAATTACCTACAACTGCTCGCACAGTGCATTCGAAAACCAGCTCGCGTAATTCCCTGCAGCAACCCATTACCTAAGGAGCACCTAAGTCCAACAACATAACCCAAAAGCAAGCATATTGAAACACCCGTCAACTAGACTCACATTCTCACTAGACATCTAAGCTATACATAACTATGTATTTGTTGTAATATGAGTGTTGTAAACAAACAATGTGCTCTGAAATCCTACACTGAGCGTCGACAGAAACATCCTGCGCCTGTGTCCTTGACTTAACTAATCGTGTACACACAAGTCAATATGATTTTATTGCCTGAATTTTTTAGATGATTTCGATGACTATATTCGGGCGACGCTTCAGTAATTACCTAATTTCCATACATTCGTAAAATCAAAAGTAAATAACACAATGAAATCAACGTTTTCGGAAACTTACCTCAAAAACTGCTGAAAACTTAGACCAAAGTATGATTTTTGTAGTTTTAAGCACACAAATAATTTTAAAAAAAATAATAATAATAATAACAGCAATAAACAAGTATATTACGGGTAACTAACCGTTACACACACAGGGTGCACATAAATGAATTTCAATTAAAACTATGTCAAATTAACACACACACACACACATGCAAGTGAGTGGAGAGTTTCGAAAAAAAGGTATTGCTGTTACGCACATAAACCGTTAATTTTTTTAAGAAAACCAAACTGTAAGCTAAGAAAATGATTTTAATGAGGAGAGGTTATATCCACTAGCAATTACTATCAAAAATCTTGTTTCTTTGATTATCACCTGACAAATATATCTAGCAATAGAAATTATATGAGGTTTGCACTGCGACCTAGGGTCTATTGTGGCCACAAACATATCTAAGAATGTAATGTGAAAATTCAAGTTCGGTCCAGCCATTTCGAAGAAATTTTCCTCACTGATTCTGAAAACAGTATTTAAGAAAGAGTTTAGAGTTTTGGCCGCCGATTACAATAATTTAAAAAATTCTCCAATATTGGCTTACATCTCCGAAACTATTAGCCGGATTAACATATTCTCAAATATTTATACATTCGATGTTTATGCAAAAATAAAAAATCGGTTTTCACAAGTGGATATAACCTCTTAATTTAACAAAAATTTCAATAGCAATAAGAAAATGCACTAGGCACACAACAAAAACGTCATCAACTTATAGCACACACAACAAAGAGAAAAATAGATTATTTAATACAACAACAACTGCAATGCCAACGCAACTTTAACGGATTCACAATGCATGTAAGTAGCGACGGAATGCTAAAAGCGACTATTATTAAACTATTTAGAATTACGCTACAAAGCGCATATATAGAAGAAGATCTTGTTTTGTTTGTATGCATATAGACGCTTAGTAAAATTTAGCAAATACGTATTTTCATATGATTTTTTGTAGCGACGTTGTAGTAAACGCTTTTATTGTTAGCTATACATATGTAGGCGAAGTAGTCGCATTGGTATATACATATGTATATATATGTATGTATTTAGACACACACAAACATAGAAAGCATTTTTTAAATTAATTTACTGTTTTTTTTTATACATTATACAATATATACATATATATATGTTAATTTAAATTTTCAACCCAATTTCACTAATTCGCCTTGTTTCTTCACCCGAAAAGTGCAACCAACAGCGCTGTTATGTAACCAATCGTATCGATAGCATCAACTTGGAACAATAACTGAACGCTTGTATTGTTCTAACGGATTTAGTTCCGTTGCACCAATTAACTTCTCCAGCATTAGGTTAAAGAAATCGCACAATAAAGTAGGCACATCATTTATAGTCAGACTACTTGTAGGAAGGGTTACTCCTTCTTTTTGGTGGGCTGGTGGTAGTGTTTAAAAGAGCCGTTTGGTGAATTACTGAATCATGAAATAACTACTTCTTCTATTGTAAAAGGAAGCTTTTTATTAATTTAATTAATATATAAGCACCGTAGTTTTACTGTTTGCCATTCAGCAGATTGAATAAATGTTTTTACCATAACTTAAATATAGAAATTATTTTCATTCTTTCTTGAAGCAAAACTAGGACATCACCCATATGTCAATATCGAGATAATATTATTTTGGACCATTTCATTCAGCATTGGGCTATATTCAGCTATTTTGCCGAACCATTTATCAGGAGCGCAACACGCTTACTGTAATGGTAGGCCAGTTGAAACTGCCCAGCTTACTCTAGTGTCATGGTTTGAGGAAGCCGTAACTTCAATAATTGCCGGAAACGGTCACAACAGCTCTAGACGTTTTCGGGGTTGAAACTAATCTCAAATACTTTATATTCAGTATTTTTTGCGATTGAATGATCGTAAGGGAGTGTAGTAGCGCACGTGCTCGGCGAAATGTAAATAGGGGTACCCCCCAAGGTGGCGTTATTTCCCTTCTTCAATGGATCTTGGTGATCAATGACCTGCTGAAAAAAACCCCATCATCAACCCAAATAAAATTGAAGTTTTTTCATTTACTAGGTGATGCAAGAACCCGGAGGCACGACCGCCGTGGATGAGAAACATTTAGAGCTCAAGATATAAAGCATTCATGGAAACCTAATATCGAGAAGAGATCAAGGAAGGCATTGATTGCCCTGTACTGCTGCAGAGGAGCCATTCGCAAAAGATGGGGTCCCTCACCAAAGTATTACGACTCCATAGTCTAGCCAATTATATTCTATGAGGTGTTTATGTGGTGATGGGCCCTAGAAAAGACCACACTTGCAATTAAGTTCGAGAGTGTGGTGCACTAAGGTCCATACCAACCATGGCACTTAATGCTATTCTGCATATACATACAAGCATACAACACTTGTAGTTTCCGTAAATATATCCAGAAGGTGTATGGCCGCGAGAGTTGCTATCAGGCTCAGAGAATCAGGGTTTCTAAATGAACATGTGTCTGAACATTCGGAAATTCTCGCTCGCTTTGACTAGCCTCTCCCTAGTTCTAACGCTGTATGGTTAAAAATTTTACCGGATGCCAAGTGTAGAAGCTGTATGGAAGAAAACGAGGTGGAAGCATCTCAACACTTCCTTCTTGATTGTACTACCTTTGCGAGATCAAGGCTCAAGCACTTGAGAGCTAACACTTTCAGATATCCCACTGAGCTGATGGCAAGAGAAATTAAACGCCTAATCAGATTTATATTGGCCACAAGGCAATTTGCCAACTTATAAGAACGAATACAAGAATACTACATACATATATTCTACATTCAAGTGCGATCCCCAACTTGAGGATCAGTTATCGAACCTAACCTATGTTAAGCTACCCTGCAGCGAAGTTACCTTATAAGTACTAAAGATCTAAAGGACCACATATATAAACTTATATATTTTTCCTTCTGACATTTTTAGTTGAAAACAAGTTTCTGTTTGCTCAAGTCTCTTAATAATAACTGCGATTTCAGTCAGAAATTTTTAAATAACTACTTTTTTAACTAGTTTGAGATTAGGACTTAAACAAAATCGCTGGTAGCCTCAATGCAAAGTATAGTTCTACTACAGCAAAAAAGCGAAATTTCTCAACATTCAGCGCTTCCACTCTGTCCTTCACCAAAAAGAAATATTAAATGTCAATATTTTTGCGAAATGTCAATTGTTTGCTGTCTTACGAATTCCAGTTCGAGGAATAGGTACTAAAATGTTGGTTAACTCCTTAATTATATGCAAGCACAAAAAATATAATCGTGTTTACTAATGTTGACCGGATAAAAAGATCTATATATTATTACTATCTAACTATTAAATAAACTTATTAGACTTAAAACTTCTTTAAACTAGATAATTAGCAAAATATTTTTTATAATCATATATATATATATTTTTTCCCCCTTTTTATATTTACAATAGTAATTGAATATTTAATTTGAAAATTTTTTAAACTCAACACTGGAAATTTTAAGCAACTAACGGCAATATATTTCTTTCTTAATTGTTTGCACTTTAAGATCATTTCGCTGCAGGAGGAGGAGGATACCGTTAGCAATATTGATTAGCAATTACCAGGATCTGCGAAATAACCAAGCAAGGAGATTTAGAAGCAAACGCATAAAATTGACATACAATTTCTCAGCTACAAAGAATGAGGGAAATTGGACTAGTGTGCAAAAAACCAACAACAACAAAAACTATAAGAAAAAAATATACGGTACATGTGTAAAAGGTTGTGTAAACGTTAATTCCAAGCATACTTGAAGAGTATTATTAAAAAAGAAATAACAAAAATGACAAGCAATAGGCTTCTATGTAACTCTGTTGTGAAATTTCTAGTTTTTTGTCGTCTCAGTTGCAGAAAATAAGAGGTGTAAGGTGTTAAAGATTATTTGTAAGAAAAAAATAAACACAATTACTATAAATTTCTTGTTTTTTTTTTTTTGTTTGAGTTTGAGAAACTGCACTTGCGTTTTGTGTTTCTATTACCAAGTAAATAACCGTAAAGCAACCGACTGTACATTTATGATAAATGTGCAAAAAGTAAATAGTACTAATAAATAAAAAAAAAAAACTATATATTAGAAGACACTTAGTCAGCAAAACAAAACTATTTATATAGTAATAAATATAAATGAGTTGCATTGCAATAAGCAACAACAACACAAAGTAAAAGTAGACGAAAGGAAACTAAAAAAGGGGTTAAAAGCTGAACTATGCTTACAAAATGAAACAACAATTTGCTGTTATTGACACAAAAGAAAACAAAAAAAGCAGTTACTTACATAATCACAGACATGCATAAAAGTTTATATGTATGTTTTTTTTTTTCAAATAAACTATAGCGAATTATATGCGTAAGAAACAATGAAAACTCCCACCATTAGCTGCTGATTTTATAAACTGAAGTAATTCAAGCTATTTTTTCGATCGCCAATAACAAAATAATGTGTACTTAGTGATAACAGCGAGGTTTTTGGCAGTAAAGGCGATGAGGTTTATAAAAAAGTATCTTTCTTTTTTACTAATTAATGCCTTCGAATGACTTTTATACTATAGATTCCTGCTGAGGAAGTAAAACAAAAATCAAATAAATTATTAATACGTTTTGCGAATATTACTTGTCAGCGATTCGTCAAAACTTATAGTGTGAGGAAAGAAACAAAGAACTGGTAAAAGTCGCATGACAAAATGGAGATAAGCTGGCATACAAAATGGAGTTAGAGGAGAGAGCGATTATGCCATTTTAATTGGTTTATAGTTACACATACTCTCTTGAATAGCTTTTTGTTGGCTTCACTTTTGCAAGAGCGCAGAGCTAGCGGAGCAGTAAAGAGGCGAATCGAGGATCGCTCATTTTAATGGAGTTCAGGGTTGCATATTTTTTTGCTTAACAATTTTGATTTAAAAATTTGATTTTCAGTTTGTAATTTAAATTTTTTAATTTTTTTATATTTTTAATCCCAAAATAGGAATTAAAAATTGAAAATTCAACTTATACTATTGTTTGAGATTAAAAACTTATTATTTATTTTGAAAAAATTCGTTTAATTGTTTAGTGCGGCATTTCAGTTTTTCGGGATTACAAAATATAAAAAAAGGTATTTGAATTAAATTTTTTTTTTGTATTTTAAATTCAATAATTTTTATACCCTGAAAATGGTATACTGACTTACCACCAAATTTAACTATAATTGGAACAAATGTTTAGCAAAATTTGATATTTTATCAACTGAGACTGGTTGAGGCTAACTTTGATATCTAGTATATAAACATATAGTATTAGATATAAGTACTTTTCAGTTATATAAATTGTATAAATAAGCAATGGAACTACAAACCAGATACATACAAACTCTAAACTGTAATTATTATAATAATTTATTTTGGAAGAAAAGTTAAATTGTTACCTATTTATTTGTTTTTAATCGCACCTATATTATAGCATATATAAAACAAGTTATTAATTAACAACAGTAGGATGTTTTGTAAAGAGTGAAAAAAAAATAAAATAAAAAAACACTTTAATAAAAGTACTCAAAGATATAAAAGCAATTGGTAAATAAATAAAGAAAAAAAGTATGCAAAAAAAAAATTATAAAAAGTAAATGTCATAAAGAAATCATAATAAAAGGAGACAATCAAATATTAGCAACTCGTACACACACACCCAAACAAATAAATTAATTAATTTAAGAAACATTGCCTACAGGGCAACTTACTTAAAAAACACAATCATATACAAGTATGTATGTACACGTGTGTATGTGCTTAACTGTTTTTAGAGATATTATAAGCCAGCGGTTCGGTGCTAAATTCTTAATTTTTGGCTAATTTTTGAAAAGCTGGTAATACATAAAGCTGAGTCGATTTAGCCATATACGCCTGTCTGTCCGTCCGTTTTTTGAGATTTCAATCTGAAATTTTGCACACATCCTTTTTTCCCCAAGAAGCTGTATTTGTCAGAATCGCCGCTATCGGACCGCTTTATCATATGCCTGCCATACAAACTGAACAATCGGAATCAAATGCTTATATAGAAAACTTTTTTATTTGACAAGATATCTTCACGAAGTTTGGCATGGAGTATTATCCAAGGCAATCCAATACAATCACCGAACAAATTGTTCAGATCGAATCCTAATCGATCAAAATAGTTCTTGTATGGAAGATATGTTTATTGGTAAAGGGTATGATAGCTTCGATATTTCTCTGTTTTAAACCAGCTTGGGACTGGTATATTTCTGACTCTTTTATGGCTGTCGGTGGACTAGTACGTGTTAATAGTAGTTGCAAGGTAGTTGTTAACTATCGCATACACAGCGGTGTTTTTAACGGTGTTTTTAATTTTGGCACACATGGCTACGAGTTCTATATACTTAAGTGTATGTATATGTAGTTGTAATTCTTAAGCTGTTCAACTTGAACAGTAAAATTCCATATATGGTATAAGAGTATTATGTAGTTATATATGTAGTTATATATGCCTCTAGTGCATCTGCTACGAGTATTTACTGTATTGTTGTTCGCGTATTTATGTAGAAATACGTACATATGTCGTTTAAACTAAGCCAATTAGAATATGAAATGTATGTATGTATGTATGTAATTGTAAATTTAAAAAAATTGCAAAAATAAAAAATAAATAAACGAATAGCCGATGTTCTTATTAATGAAGTTTTAATTTACTCTTTGAAATCTAACGGTATTCTTGTATTAACCAATAGGAAGTGGCCCTAGATTTTGTAGGTTCTTTCTTGCTTGAAGTCTTATAATACCGATTAGGAAAGTAAAAAACTACACAAAACTTCTCAGTAACATTCGAAATTTTTTTTTCTGAAAGCAATCCGTTGAAAATACCAACATACTTTTAAATAAATTAAGTAAGGTACCAATTTATAAATAGCTATTTATATACATATATCAATACCAGCTATGGTGCCGGATGACTGATGAAATAATAAACTTGAGACTAGTAAATAATTATTCTGACAACAGGAAAAAACGTTAACTTCGGTGGTACTAATATACTATAATACCACTCACAGCAGTTATAGCATAAAGGGGTATACAAAGATTTTTGTCGAGAGTGTGATCGGTTTATTCTGTAGTAGCCCGATCTGAAACGTTTGTTCGCAGATTGTACCGTTGCCTTTACAATAACCCATGCTTAATTTTGTGAAGATAACTCGTCAAATAAAAATGTTACTGTACATGAACTTAATTTTGATCGATTCGTTTTTATGCCAGCTATATGCTATAGTTCTCCGATATCGGCGGTTCCGGTACAGACGGTCAGACAGACATGGCTAAATCGACTTAGCTGGCAAGCTGATCATTTATATACATATACTTTATAGGGTCTCCGACATTTCCTTCTGGGTGTAAGAAACTTCGTAGCAAACTTCATATTGTCTGTTTATGGTATAAATATTCGCTATGATATGTTAATCGTTCGTGAAGGCAGCGTGTAATGGAAATCCGCCTTTAGATGGCCTCGAATTTGCCGGCGTTGAAATAAAATATTTTTATTAACCTATTGCTTTTGCAGCGATTTGTAAATTAATATTTATCCAGTATTTATTTCATTGCGTTAAAATCGATCAATATTTCTGTGAATAGAAGAATATTAATTAGTAAAATGCAAAATACAACACAGCCTTCAATTCCATGCAATGGTTTATTGCAGTTTGCAACGAACCACCCAACCACCCGGCCATCAAAGGAGAATTTTCGCTTCGAATACAAGTCGGATCATAACAAACCAAGCAAGATGGAAGTGAACCGAGTATTCGAAAAAAAATTCCACTATCGAAAGCCAAAAGAGAATATTTGGCAGTTACCTCCTCCAACCGAAGCGTTTAGTGAATATTACAAAGTTGATGCACTGCAACAACTGAAGCCAAAATTAAATAACGTAAAGTGCAAATTAAATAATTACACAATTGAAGATTGGAGTCTGCATACAAGACGCCAGGATCCATCAAATGAGATACCATGGCGTTTGAAAAATGAAACCCAAGCCGAATTTGTTACAATAGCTTGGTGTAAATTCTTTGAATGTCTTCACGCCTACCCTCTGGTAAAAGGTTCACATTTAAATTCTTTGCATCTGTGCGAATTGCCGGGTGCATTTATTGCCGCCTTAAATCATTACATGTATTCGACATACAAAGCAGAAGAGGTGAGCATTATTATCCAGAAATGTTTAATACATCATACCCAGGGCCGTAGAGAGAATATCGGAGACCGGAGATGTCTTTGATGAATAAAAAAAAATTGCCAAAAAAAAAAGGGCACCGGCCCTTGCCCTGAAAACTCTGGGCTCCGGAAGGATTTTCCCTGATTTCCTCTTCCCTTCCCCTTAACTGATCATATCAATTGCACTTATTTGTATTATGATGTTTAATAAGTACATATTTTATATAGGTGGAATGGCGGTGGCTTTCTACAACACTTAATCCATACTATGAGGGTAACCCCACAAGTGGCATGATTACAGACGATAGGTTTATGTTTCATACCTTTGACAATTGGCTGATGCATGATGATTTTACTGGTAATATTATAAATCGTAATCATATCGAGCAAATGCAAGAACACTGCAAGCGACGTTTGGAAGACAATGTACAGCTAATTACGGCTGATGGTTCGATAGATTGCGTTGATGCACCGGATTGTCAGGAAGAAGTGGTGGCAACACTTCATTTTGCCGAGATCACCGCAGCTCTGTGTATACTGGCAGATGGTGGTTGCTTTGTAGTAAAAATGTTTACAATGTTCGAATCAACAAATGTATGTAAACTATTTTTACTGAACTGTGTTTTCGAGGAGGTACACGAATTCAAACCTGCTACCTCGAAGCGTGGCAATTCAGAAGTTTATATCATTTGCATTGGTTACCGAAAGCAGACAAAATATTTACCAGAGCTATTGCAATTGATGAAGGAAAATGTTGAATGTGCAAACATATTTCCTCTTTTTCCTAAATCGTACTTACCAAATGATTTCTTGCTGCAACATGAGATATGCGCACGACTTTTTATGAATTTTCAAATTGAAGCGATTGAATCGAACATTCAGACATATGAAGTAAAACCTACTCGTCGTCAGGTTAATTATAAACAGCTTTTCCGGACTGAAACAGCCAATGAATTTTACGCTCGCTACAAGGTGTGTAAAATCGCGGAGCAAAATAAAGTTTTATATGGACATCAAACAGCCGAAGAAAACTGCAAGTCAGCACCATTTTGCAGAGGTTCATACACGGAACGTGAAATGGCAAAGGAAACAACAATAGAACAACGAATATTTTCATTTCATCGTACCATCAACAATTTAGAAAAAATATTAGACTTCCATTATGATATACAGTTTCAGGAAGAATACGACACATTAAAAAAATCTACTTCTGAATTGCATATTTACAGAGGCGCTCCATTCACTGAACTACATAGTAGTCTTTTTGCGCATCCTTTTGTCATGCAACTGCATCAAAACCTTAAGGAAATGTTAGGCCGCGATCCTATTTACATACGGAAACCCAATTGGATTGCTGACGGTGAGGAAATACAACTCAATAATCTTAATATGCATGGATTCTCGCTTCTCCCTCGTGAATATTTGCTTCTATTACTGGATACGATTTATGAAAAACAAGCACGGCGAATAGTTCTATCAAATGTGCTTTTTTTAACACACTTATCCGTTTCGGTGCTACTTTCATTGGCTCTTTTCGTTTTTGGGCATTTATCAATTTCCACTGGACCTGAATTTCAAATAGAGTTGCTTGCTAAATGTGATAAGTATACAGAGGACCAAATATCTACATTAAAAATGATTCGCGAACTTCTAGCTGAAGATGCAAGTGTTTTATGTATTATGCCTATCGAAAAATTGCATCGCAATAAATTTGCAAATACATTGATGGCTTATAATAATCAATTATTGATGAAAAATTTTAAATTAGTCTTAAATAACTAAAACTATATATGATATAATTTTTCTACCCAATTACTCTAGAAATAAATAGGAATAAATATTTAAATTGAAATCTCAAATAAAAACAAATATTTGTATATATATATACAAAAAAAACATGATAACTATTTAAAAAATATATATCAATTGTTGTTTTTTTTTATAGATTTACATTATTTTATTTGCAAATACTTGATATTAAATTATCCACAGAATGATTCCTAAGCGATGACATTGGTTATTTTTCTTTCAGTCTACCTATACTTTATAATAACTAATATTTATAGCTGAATTTGCACATATTTTATAAGAAAACATGTAGCTTTTTATTCAAAGCAGTGGTTTTAGGAATATACACATAAAACAATGACTTTGGCCCGTGTTCGTATGTAAAACTTTCTTTCTATTGGTATTACCATTTACAATACAATTTTATAAATATGTCCAGTAGATGGAAATATATAATTCAATGCCAATGATTATATTTGTTTATTTATGTATATATATATATTTTTTCTACTTCACAAGTAATTTTTTGGCAGCACTTCATTTTTAATCTGTCGGCCGTTTTTCGCTATTCTTCCGGGTATGCTCTTCGGCGTTTTTAATAAAACGCTTTCGATCTCGCAAGTACTCTTCGGCCAAATCTGCACGCAGCGGATGTTCTGGTTCCGGGTCATTGATTAATGCAATCAATGCCTGAACAACTTGATCCGTACGTGTTGCAGGCTTCCAATTTTCAGTTGATATAATGGGTAAGCAAACCTGTCCTTTTTCATCGATGTTTGGATGATAAATTTTAGTCTTAAATATTATCTTTGGCGGTTTAAAAGGGTACTCCGCAGGAAAGTTTATTTCAATACGAAATGCTCCTTTGTTATATGGAGCATTATCTGGTACAATTAAACCGGTCCAACGCAAAAGATTCTCCTCGTCCGCATTAATTTCCCGAAATGATTTCAGACCACAAGCCTGTAGATCGGTCAATTCTTTGCGAAGTCTACGCGGTGCAGTCATCTCGTTTCGTTTACGTTTAGATTCTCCTTCTATAGCAATAAAACTTTAGTGCTTCCCACGTTCCTTACGGCTGATTTTTCAATATCAAATTCACAAATTTTATAAACTTCCAGAACTAATTTCCTTCTGTCCACCTTTTTATTCCTTTTGAGTGTTTATTTCACTCTTTTTCCTTTTGACGGCAATGTCAAAACTAAAAAATGGAACAGTGGTGTTTTTCATTTTTATTTGCACATGAACTATTTTGAGGGAAATTTGCTGAAATGTCACTGGTATATGTTGTATGCCATAATGATTAAATATAAATATTACAATTTTAATACTGTAATGTTAAAGTTTGTAGGAGTTTCTTAATGCCGAATTGACAAATTGACAAAATTACCCGAAACTCTAGTGTACGAATGATCGCTCATCCCTTCCCTTCTTTTTTGAACAACAAAAAGTAAAAATAAAAAGAAATGTAATATAAATAATTTGAAACCTGTGAAAAAAAAGGCTGTAGAAAGGTGAGAACTTTCACATGAGAGCAAACTACAAATAGTTCTCAGCTTGAATTCAATTCCGGTTTCCAGAAAGGATGCAGAACAGACATTGGAATGCAACTTCAAAACTTGACAATTTCTGCATTAACACATAAAAACAAGTTCTATCGGTCCGCTAATATAAATTTAATCAATCAAAGTCCTCAAAGCTGTAATATTCTTTTATATACAACAATTAGAATGATGTTCGGAGATTGTAGCGCTGCTTGGGCAATAACCTATGGCAAGTTTCGTGAACACAATTTGTCAACTAAAAAAGTTTTGCATACAACTTTATTTGAATCGATGTTGTTGTTGTTGTAGCGGTTATCTAATCCTCACATTGATGGTAAGGCTCATTTTGGTTGTCATCGAAATCATCTAACGTTAGGCCCAGGAAAAGTGTCGTTTCGACGGGGTCGGACCATAGGGAGAATGTTGTTAGATGAGTGGGAAAGATATCTTAGTAACTAGTTCGCGTATATACAGACAGAAAGACATAGATAAATCGACTTTCTTTCTAAGATCTCCCACGTTTGCTTCCGGGTGTTACAAAATTCGTGGCAACCTGTACAGGATATAATTATATTGTACTAGTGTATGTTCCACAATTATAGGTTTATATCGTTATCATTAGTTTGCTGGCAGTATAATATTTTATAATATAGTTCAAAGTATTTACTATGTTAAATGGATATCAAATCCAAATAAATATATTTTTCAGGGGTTGTTGTTGTTGTAGCGGCAGACATTCCGCAACCGACCCGACTGTCGTATAAACGGATATATGTATATTTCCGGGGTTAACGGTACACTATAACGTGCTATAGTGTTATGACTCAAGGTCAAGCACTGTGGGCATTGCGCTCACGGAAACTCCCAATTTTTGACATAAACATAACACATTCTTAACGGCACCTTGCTACAAACGAAACTTTTAGAACTTTTAGAACTTTTACGTGTATATAGGTACATATGTATGTATGGCTGTTTCTATCGAAAATTACTCGGAAGACGAAATTATTTAGGCCGCAACTGTTTTTAAATGGGGCACTAACATTTCACGTGTTCTTTGAATTTCTATAACTTGTTTGTTTAGTCAATGTCAGCATTATTTGAACAGTCTATTGACTTTCATGCGAAAAGGTTAACTACTGACTACTAACCGCAATACTATATAAATCCGCGACTTTTCTAAGTCAGTATTCATAACCAGTTCAACATTCAATCGACCTAATCAATTCACTTTTGGATTAAAATGAAATTCGCAAAATATCTTTTACCACTAGCTATTTTCGCGATTTCTTCATTAAAGATTTCCCATGGCCAGAATAACAATGGAACTGCTGGGCCTGCTGGGCCTGCTGCATCTACTGGTGCTACGTCTCCGCTATCTCCAACTTATCCAACGTATCCGTTAACGAACACATATCCTGGGGACAAGATGTTCACAGCAAATCTTCGTTATACAGCGATAAGACGAATAAGGAAATCAGGCAACGGAGCTAGTAGTAGCTCCTCCAGTAGAAATTCCAACAGAAATCGCAATCGAAACAGAAGTAGGGCTAATCGCAACAGGGCTGCAAATGGTAAAAGGAGGAATGGAAAAAGCAAGCGCCGGAATAATCGTCGTGTAGCACCAATTGTTATCTAAACATGTGTAAATCTTGAATATATTTAATAGTGTGAAAATGTTGTTGAACAAGCCATGCAAATGGAGAAATGTTATTATGTAATAATTATTTTAAATTTTAATATATATAAATAAAAAGTATGCGCATAAAAATAAAATCTATTTTCGACTAAGAAATAAGCAATATTTAAATTTTTCACAAAAAAGAAGTCGTTAGATTTGGAAAGAGCGCTGCCGATGAGCGTTTTTAAAGTTTGACATTTTGAATATATTTTGTGGGTATTTCTATTCCACCAACTAAAACAACTTTTGAATGCGTGATATCCTATATTTCGGCAATACGCATACAAATATATTATATATACAATCAGTAGTTGATAACTTCGTTGAATACAAAATCCACAGCGCGTTCATTCTTGCATAACCCTAAGTTATTCCTTTTGTCTTGTGGATAATATAGTAGCATGTATCGTAAATCTTCTAAATACATAAAATCGTTCACTGATATTTTTACTTTTAATAATTACGTTTAATTCCGAAACACAAAATATTATTAGATAGAAAATTCGAACATCTAATTCTAATTTGACCCTGACGTTGACGCTTTCTTTTCTTCCTCCTCTTCATTGTGTTTAGCTATCAATTGTGCGATTTCTTCTTTTTGGACCATTTTAATTATAGGGCGTGAATTACTCCCTAGAGTGGTAACTGCCATTTCCACTTTTTCTGCATTAATACCTTCCATGCTTTTAGCTAACACCTTGATAGCGATTTTCTTAGCTTCTTCAGTTTTAAGAGGATTTTCGACGTTATCATAACTATGAATTGCAAAATTAAATCAACTAATATAATTGTTTAAATATACATGTTTTATGTTTTCTTACCGGTTTGCAAGTTCTGTCTTTAACATAGACATAGCTACACCAAAGCTTTTACCAATGCAGGTGCCATTCCAACCACTATAATTGCCACTGGGGTCTGATTGATAGAGTTGAAATCCATGACGCCTATCGTGCCCCATGTAAAGGATCGATACACCAAATGGACGCTTACCACCATATTGTGTGTATGCTTGCTTGATGTCACACAAATGTGAGACCAGTTGCTCAACCGGTATTGGTGCACCATAATTATATTGATAACGTTGGGCAATTAAGCGCATTTCATTTACTAAAACGTTGGCATCCGATGTAATACCAGCAACAGCAACACATAAATGACTGGAGAAAGTATTGATAAAAAAATCATATATTCATATTAATAATGGAAATCACAACTTACTCATTGATTTTGTAAATTTTGTCCTGAAAAATATCATTGTCTAATAATGGACTTGTAGTGTGACATTCTGCAGCTATAACAATACCATCGTCTGCGCGTATACCTAAGGCAGCGCCAGCACGAGAAATAGCTTCCATAGCATATTCCACCTGATATAGTCGACCTTCTGGGGAGAAGATGGTTGTCCGCGAATCATAACGACGTGCCTACGAAGTACAAAAGAATACTTGCATTAAAATGCCTAATTTAACTGCATTAAGCACAACATCACTTAAAATGATTTTTTATATCACTTACCATATTGCTGTTTAATTAAATCTTCTTAATATTCACTTATTTCACACTGAAATTGTATTGTCATTCCTGCCGCGAAAAGTGTTGCCAACTCAACTGCCATGTTTATCGATAAATACTTAACAGTAAGAAATTGCAGTGCTTACAAGCACTAAAAAGGATTTTGCAACAATCAGCAGAAAATGTAAATTATAGAGAAGGTCCAACCAGAGAATGTAGATTATAATTTAAGATTATAATTTAATCTACATTCTCTGTATGTACTTAAGAGTTTCGGTTAAAGTTGTGTATTGGGCCTTAAGAAACTCTTAGAAACTTTAATAGAAATCTCACGTAGGGCTATTGGGTAACTTAGCGGTGACTTATTCGGTAGGTGTCTTGCAGGGTACAATTAGTACTTTGGCGTAACAAAAATATGACGTATTTGATTCAAGTATTAAAAAGTTCAAGGTAATATGAAGGTTTAAGTTTGAAGCTTAAGAATAAAGCTGAATAAATGACAGGAAAATTTATTTAGTTTAAAATTTATACGGTCATTATTTGCACCCTGTAATCAATGGGAGTGCAGCCCATTTATTTTCTCTGGATATACGTTCTCTGTCTGGTCTTATAAATACGAAGAAGAAGAATTCAATTCGATTTAAAATTAAATATTTGAGCTACATTTTGGATACAAGTTTCTTATCTTTTAACAATCATGGGCGATTTAATTAATGTAAGTTTAATATCAGATAAAAATATATTAAAATTGTTGTTTGATTGTATGTTGTCTACTCTGTAGCATTTTGATGCCTTCAAAAAGTTGGGGTTCGATTGCGCCAATCAATGGATACTCTATGATGATCGTTTCCAAAAGTTCTTTAATTTTTTCACTGAAAATATAACTGATGTAAATATACTAACCGAGAATGAAGTATTAGAGTTTGACGAATTAAAGCAGAGGGGAGAGTTGCTGGAATCTACTGAACGCGCTGCGAAATTAAAGGAATTAGAAATTGTAAATCCCGGATTGCTGCAATATACAGAGGAGCAGGTAACAGCGATGTCTGAGGATCTTAATTTACTAGAACATACAGAAGATTGTTACGTATCACTCGTTGAGGAAATGAGGTAGTAATTGCGTTATTGTTTTGTATGTTACATGTATTTACATATATTCGGTCTCTGTAGAGGTACCAAGAACAAAATTAACGCGCAATTAGGGGATTTAGAAAATGAAATCAGTATTTTAACTAGTAAAGAAAATGATATGCTAAATGAATGTCAAAACTATGCCCGTCGACTTGAGGAAATGCAATTAGAAAATTATAAACTTTCCAACGAAGCCACTCGTTGCTTTACGAAAATTGTAAGTATATTATTGTATTGTCACATTTAGTGAGTCAACTCATTGTTTTCTATTTTTAATTTGTAGCAATCGCCACCGCTTTTTATTCATCAATTACCTATAGATCAATACCTGTTGAAATGCGATACATTCATGCAATATTTTACTCTATATATGAAGGAGAATTTTAAAATTCAGGTGCAGTAAGCCCTTGTTATTATTTTTATTCAAATCAATAATCATATCAGCAATTCTTTTGCAGGATTATAACGAAATGGACTCTACCTCATCTGAACATTCCGAATTTTCTGACAAGCTTCAATCCTTAGCTAAATCGTAAGCGCATAGAATATATAATACTTCTTCGTTAAGAAATATATTTTCCTTTTTATTTACAATTATTTTAGCATGGAATACTACACGCTTGAGTACATTAAGGAAAAGGCAAAATCAAAGGCTACACAGTCTTTGATCGATCTTTTAGATATTTCGCAAATACATGTCATCAATCTTGCTGACATGGAGCATGAAACTCGCGAACTGGAAATGATGAACGAACACCATTTGAAAATTGCTTATGAAACTCTTTTGAACGATCTCACTTTGCATGTGCAGCAGCATACTCAGCAGCGTATGGAGTTGATACTTTATGAAAATACAAAATTAAAATTAGAGCGTGCCTTAAAGCGTCAAGAAACCGATAAACGTTTAACAAAAATCATCTCGGATGCATTATCAAATGCCGAACTAGTTTGGATCGCGATACAATTAGATTTAGAACGAAAACGTAATCGTTTTGTGAATACGGATCAGTTAAACAGTGAAACAGATAATTGTCAAAAACGCATTAAAATTATGCGCACTATTCAACAGAACAATACGCCACATTTAGCTTATGGCAGTATATTTACTAACACCTCTGCCCCATCACTGTTGGATGCAATAGCCGAACAATTGTCGCGTCATCTAGGTCAGAAAGTGCGCAGCGAGCCGAAATCTTGCCTATATGAATATGAGAAATTCACTAGACTCTTGTCATATGCTGTGCAGGGGATGGTCGGCGGCAAAGCATATGCAAATGTCATTTCACAAATGGACGAATTGTAAGACAAAATATATTGAAATACTGTTGCTATTTTAAACTAATATTATGAAATGTTGTGGTTTGCTATTAGACAACGATTAGAATCCTTATTACGGCCAATGGTGTATGATAGTCCTGTGGAGGCACCAATGTTCGAACATCTGCGCTTCTTAATGCCCATTTACAACGCCAAAACTAATCAAGAGCGCATTGATAGAACATTGCGTTATTTGCGTACGCAATTTCAAGAAAACATAGCCGAGAGACTAGTAAGATTTCCTACATATTTTACAAATTTAATTATTTTAACAGCGTTTATTTCTTTTCTACTTAAAAGGAAAAAGACAAACTATGGCGCTACAGTCAGTTTTTGTGGATTTGGTTTTTAACCGAACCGCGACGTATGATAATGGCAATTGAAGAGGCGAAGAAAGCTGCCTCCAAAGTACCAAGTACCGCGGGGTTGAAGTCGATAAGTGGCATAAAAAGAAAATGAGTCTATATGGTGCGTTTGAACATGGCGTTTGAACATATTCGTGAAAATTTCAAGTTATTAAAGTCATTTAAAATAATTGCTAATTAATTAAAGTACTATTTTTAATATTTAAATAAATAATGTGTCTTTTATTTTTATACTCTTGCAACATGTTGCTACAGAGAATAATAGAGACTTAAGATACAAAAATGTAATTTGGTACAACAAATCGTAATAACAAGGGGCAACTGTGGTTTGAAATAATATATACTGGGGTGGAGCGAAAAAAATTTTTTTTTTTGCCTACCCTGAGGGTAAAATCTGTAGATTATAAAAAAATATAATTTTTGAACAAATTTTTTTTAACATCTAGAGGCGGCGTACATCTAGACGCAGTTTTAAAGTATTGTATGTTTCGAGTAGAAGCGAAGCGACCGGAAGCGTCAGAGACCAAATAAATAGTTTATACAAATGATCAGCGTGATGAGCTAAGTCGATTTAGTAATTTTCGTCTGACTGTTAGTTTATTCATCTGTCTGTCCATTTGTCTATACATATATACGCGAATTAGTCCCTTGTCGATATCGGACCACTATAGCATATAGCTGCCATACAAACTGATAGATAACTTTTTTTATTTAACGAGATATCTCCACGAAACTCGTCTTGGATTATTTTCTTAAGCAACGGTACAATCTCCAAAGAAATTGTTTAGATCGGACCGTTATAGCATATAGTTGCCATACAATCTGACCGATAAAAATTAAAATATGTTTGTTTGTGAAGGTTGTTATAGCTTCGGGGAAATTGAGGTTAATGTTTTATTTTTTATATTTATTTTAGTGGTGCCTTTATATCATTCAACATAACCTATAAGTATACTGAGTTCAAACAGTTTGCCAATTTGAAAATTTCCCACAGGGTTCATTTTCTGTCCATAAAGTTTGGTAAGTGTGTGTGTGCGTGTGTGGCAAAGATTGTTGCAGGCAACAAAACAATATTCTCAAACACTTCAATAAGACACCTACATACTTTCGCGCCAAAATGGTTAAGTAAACAAAACGAATTAATGAATTAAGGCCTGAAGAAAGACTTGTGCTTGCTGACTATTGTCAATGCATATCGATGTGTGCGCTCGTATGCATTCGTGCAACTTGTGTCCATATTTGTATTTGCCTCGGAGCGAAAGTTTCTCATAATCTTTCATTTTGCGTATGTGTTTGTGTTGTTGTTATTTTTGCACGACCATCTTTAATGATGGAGTAAGTGACATGTTAATTGTTTTTAGCAAGTGTAATTGAGCGTATCTAATAGTATTAATGTATAATTGCACAGCAGATGATTGTGTAAGCATATATGTGTGTGTGTGTGTGTAGGTGTAACGAAGAGTATATTCATTGGCATGATTTTGGGGCTCTCGACGGATTTATACATTATCTTTAAATGTTTTTTATGGTTTTCAATGAAGAAAAGAGATTTTTTTCAATTTAAGGAGTTATATCCACACACGTACAAGTCGAAAAAACGCGTTTTCTGTTATTATTATTTATTTTTAAAGCGAAATTTCAGTTCGATATCTCAAAAAGTGTGGGACTAGTTCGCATATACATATACAGATAGACGCACAGACAGACGGACATGGCTTAATCAATCCAGCTCGTTACGCTTATCATTTATATGTATTTATATTTATAGGGTCTCCGACTTCTTGGTGTTACAAGCTACGTGGCAACCTTACAATTTGCCAAAAATTTTGTTTAAAATTGAAATAACTCATTGCACTTCAAAACTGAAATTCAAATCCCCACAGGACATCCGAAACATTGATCCACTCATTACAACTGAAATGTACGATTTAGTGTTTAAATTATCACTCGAAGTCAACGAGCCAAGCGCAGCAGGACAAATACAAGTTAGGTTTTCTTTTAATAAAACCCGTAAAAAAATATTTTTTCAATGGAGCATAAGTCCTTTATTTATGAGTATAATAATTACACTGAATCTTAATTCTATTTTTACTTAACATTAAGCTTAACTTCTAAAGCAGCGCTGCCGATGTTGTTTACGGGAAACGGTTGACATTCCGTTCCCACGGGAAACAAGTGTTCGGTCAGCACTTTTTTATTGCGCGTGCAATATGGCCTTCAGGTGAAGAGTCGTATTGCACTTTACGTTTAGTTAGTTAGGAGTTTGATATTTTTAGGGAGGGATAGCTTATTTGGTGCTAACTTACATAATGGAAACGTAGTAATAAACAGTAGCGTTGTTATTGCTTTTGTTGTCTCT